TCGCTATCACTTGACTTAAAATATTTTTGCCCTTCCTTGCCTTTAAAGGAGTGCCCTTTGCCATGCTGATGTTGCTACATGCCTTACTTCTTGCCTATCTCACACTGCAAATTTTTTCTAAGCTCTATACTAAACATTAAATCTGTTACGAAAAAAGAACTAAACAAAATGAACACAAAACGATCAGCTTTAAAAAAGGACTCGTAACTGGAAAAACCAAATGAAAAAAGAATGTTAACAACAAATACTTTCTCACACCCAACCCAGTTCAGTGGAATCAGAATCAACATTGAGTTTAAGCAAGCAAATGAGCCAATTGGAGTAAAGTGCCATGCAGATTTAAATTTTTCCCACTTGTGACGAATGCAGCTATCATTTTTTTGCATGCTAGCATGCTAGTTAACATATGTGTCAGTCAGCTGTTGGCTCTCATGCCGGTCAATAGAATCTTCCTGCCTATTTGTGGCAGCCAGCTATAGCTATAACTCTGGCCAGTAGAAAATGGCTGCAAACTACATGAAAACTGTCGTAGAAGCATGAAAAAATCAATTATTTCCACTATCAATGGGAGTTGGGAAATGCAAAGTCAGTCTTGGCCTTCCTGCTAACTTGGAACATGTGCATGTAAATTTTGGTGCAAATCCGTTGAAAATTGCGTCCGTGCATTCATTACACACACACGCACACACGCACACACACACACACACATCCTGCCTTTTATAGATAGAGATTCACAATACCGTATATAATAAATGTCAATGTCAGTGTGTCACTGTATCACACTTTTTCAATTTCACTCCTAGAGGTCATAGCCCAATATATCATACAATTTTGGAATCAGGCCAACTCTGTGAGCAAATTAAAAACATTCAGGGCCAGATCCGGACCCACAATCATAAAATTTTCAATTCCAAAATTTTCATTTCTTTGATTACTTTTCTATGTGAGTTTGAATATGTGATTTTTTGTGACAATTTTTTTGTATGATAACAATTTTTATAATGTGGAAATAAATTTGTGAATAATTGAAATTAATTGCGAAATCCAGCAAAAATCACCCATGAAATAAAAATAATTGCTTGTACCTATGTACATGTAGGGACCTATATACTTTAAATTAAGTGACGGCAGAAGAATTATCATTGAACTTTTAAAAGATAAGCTTAAATATTAATGCAATACTTAAATGCAGTGAACAGTTTTGAGTTCTTCTGTAGTTTATTGTTGCCTATCGCATCTCCTCCCTACTTATTGTGATGAAGGCCTAGCCAAGAGCCCTCCACAGGAGTTAGCTCTTAAATGCTGCCTGATAGGGTAGCTTTTAAGTTAGTATCATAATATATGTATTATATAGAGTACATTTGGGAAACAAATTTACACTAGTTGCAAAAGATTACATCTTTTAAGTAGTATCCATTTTCAGATTCATATGAACGTGCACTTTCTAAAGCATTTTCCATCATAGCCATCAGTATTTCAGACACTAGTGCTATGAGTTTTGTCTGAATGTTGGCCTTCAGCAGTTAGAGAGTCAGAGGTTTGTTAACATAAACCTTTTCTTTGAGATAGCCCCATAGGAAGAAATCAGGGCTTATCAGATCCTGGGAAAATGGTGGCCAGTTTATGCCACAACTGTGAAAAATTGTTCGTTTCCCAAAAATTTCCTTGAAAATCTGGATTGTGAGTCTTGCCATTTCAAGCTGTTGCCCCATCTTGTTGTACAGAAACAGGTTGATGCTTTTAGGAATTTGCTGGAGTGACATTGTAGTGAAAGAAAAAGAAAAAGATAACTATTTCAAAACAAAAGAAAAAATAGAAAGCTAAAAGTTGGCTTGGCATAAAGAAATATAAACAAAAAGATAAAAAAAGTAAAGAAATAAATAAAAAAGGTCAAAAGGTTATCATTCCTAAATGTAGGTGAAGAAAAAAGGATTGTCAAATAAGTCATTTCTGGAACCAATCAAAATCAAGAACAATTCAGGGTGGGGAAATGAATTCCATTGTTTTAAAAAAAAGTGTTAAGACAGATAGGGACAGGCAGGCAACTGGACCAGACTAGCCACTGAAAAGAATTTTATCCACTATCTCTTATCCTCAAGCTTGGAAACCTAAAAATTCCACAGATGGGGTCAAAAGAAATTACTACTATTTAAAAATACTTACATATCTACGTACACATTAACAAAGACTCCCCCGACTCTCTGTCTCTGTCTGTCTGTCTGTCTCTCTCTCTCTATATATATATATATATATATGTTTTGAAAATAAAAAATATTAAAAAATTAAAATTTTCAGACACACTGGGTTGTATATTAATACTTTTTTCATTTTATTATTTCAATTAGATTCCTCAACTAGCTTCGGTCAGGATGGCCGTCATCAGGAGAAAAAAAAATTTCTGCTTGTTAGTAGCAGTGAACTACAGGAATGAATGACTTGATGAAGAAAATGAACTTTATCTGTAGTTCTTTTGACAGTTTTATTGGTTCCTGGAAAGGGGATGTGTCTCTGATAAGTGTGTGTGTTATTTGGTTCTTAGGGAGTGAGTGAGTATGATGTGTGTAAGTGTGTATATTAGTATGGGTGTGTGCTATCATTTAGCTCTTTAGGGAGTGAGTGAGTATGATTAGTGCAAGTGTGTATATTAGTATGGGTGTGTGTATAAGTATGAGGCCTCAATACCTCCACAAGCATGTCTGTCTTGTGTGGGTGAGAAATGTGGGTAGGGCCTGATTTGTAGCGTTATATATTAATTCTATCTATGTTGTTAAATTTGTGAATAGGGAAGGTTCTCCTTGAGGTGTTTAGGGTGGTAAAACTTAAAGTGTAGATAGTTGTGGGTGTCAGTGATTTTAGTGTGTAGTGTCATTTGTAGTTTTCTGTTTTCATCTATGTAAATACGGGTTTTTAAAAATGTTATCGATCTTGTGGAATTTTCATAGTCAAACTTAATTGAGTCATGTACTCTATTTAGGGTCATGAGGAACTGAGTGAGTTTGTCGTCACTGCCCATGTATACAAAGAATATATCTTCGATATATCTTGGATAGAATATGCAGTCATTACCGCTGAGGGGTTAGAAATGGGTCTCCTCAAATTGTAGCATATGATGGAGCTGCAATGGTACCCATGGCACAGCCTCTTACTTGCAGGTAGTGTGCTCTATTGAAGTTGAAAGTATTCAATGTAAGAATATGCTCTATGAGGTTTATGACAACTTCTGTGGGGGAGTGTCTTGTTTTCTTCTTTTAGTAAATGCTTCCTTTAAGGGCGGTTAGTTCTTCAATGTGTTTAATGTTTGAATAAAGTGATTTTACGTCCATGGTCACTAGAATAGAATTTTCTGGCACTATTTGTATGTGATTAATTTTGTTTATATATATATATATATATAAGATATAAGATAAAGATATATATTGCATGTACTGCTAAAAATTTATAAAATATGCAATAATATTCGAATAGTTTATAAGTTCCTATCAGAAAGTTCTTGTGTTGAGTCTTTCAGCCTTTATATATATATATATATATATATATATATACATCTTTATATATATATATATATATATATATATATATATATATATATATATATATGCTAAAGACTGAAAGACTATCAACACAAGAACTTTCTGATAGGAACTAAAAAACTATTTGAATATTATTGCATATTTTCTAAATTTTTATCAGTATATGCAGTATATATCTTTGTATTAATTATATTTGCAAGCATTTTTAAAGGCCATAAAGTGGTGTATATTTGGATTAAGGATGCTATCTGAAGATAACCACCTGTAAACAAATAAACCCTTACTTGGTAACTTCCACATCTCCAAACAAATTCCAGCAAACCCGCAACATCCAAGAGATCCAAACCTGTTGAAAGAAAGATAAAAAAAAATGTTAATAAACAAAAAAAATAGTAAATTTTCAGAGCCCTTGGTTATTTTGGGCCACACTGTACATGAGGATTTTCTTTTCAGAATCTCAACACAAAGTTAGGGTAGAATATTATACATGAATAATTACAGTATTTCTTTGCTAATCTATCATTATCACCATCAGAACTGCTTCAATCAGTGTGATTTCTCATCTTTAGTATAGCTGCTTGCTTTCAAGCATGTCCATCTACTCAGGACCATCTTTGTTTCTACAACATGCACAGAGCCAATATGCACCTATACTAAGTAGGCCTTAGTTACAATTCAAGTATATGCCTCATTAGAGACATTTACAATTTTGAATTCAGAGTTGTCCTTCTCCAAAACTGGTTGCCAACCCCAGTCAGAATGTCCAGGTTGCCCAATTATTTAACCCATAGCTGAGGGGAGAATAGATAGATTCATACCTTTCTCAAGTGAATATAAGAATCATGACTGGAATTTGAACTCACTTTGCCAATTTCTCATTCCAAGCCTTTAACAATTACACCACATGCACATCCTTTGCTAATCCATAATGGCAAAATTTGACACAAAGTCAGTGATTTAGTGTGTAGGGAATTTGTATCCTCATCTGATATTACATAATTCAAGGTATTTTTTTTTTAAGATTGTTCTCTAAAAATGGTGCATTCCTTCAGTCTTTGCAGCAGACATCAGAATGTGTGCATGACTCTCATTGTAGTATTAAATACGGGATATTATTTGGCAAATGAAATATTTATTTGTCAAACCAACAATAGCAAAATTTGATACAAAGTTAGTATTTTATGTAGGGAATCTGTATTCTATATGGAAGGGCACATAACTCGTCTAAGCAGGTTGTATAAGATCGGTCTGCTACTACTAAACAGTTCTTTTGGGTATTCTAAGTGTATCTCGGGCCCTATCTCTATTAGTGCAATGGGGCTGTGCTGTCTGAGGAAGGGATTCCAGATCACTAAACTAAGATTGTTTTTGGAATCCTTCTCCGTAAGACAGAAAGTGATTCCCTATCAGAACCGATCTATTTCGCGATATCGTGGTTCGAAGTGTTAACAAATTAAAGGTAGATAATTGATGGAGCCTGAAGAGTTCCGAGGAGGTGATCAGTGTTTCTCTTCTTGTTATTCGGATTGGTAAGTAAGTTTACGAGTCTTCTGCTTTTATTCGAATTGTAAGTCATTAATGATTAAACCATTCTATTTCTGTTTAGAAATTAATATTTTTCTTTAATTTCCTAGGCGATGTACCAACGATCAAGACAAGTGTTCCTTTTCAAGCACCAACAACATCGACTGCTACACAGAAGTTAAAAGTAAGTATAGTATTCTTTAATTTTAATTTTCAATTAATAATAATTATTATTGCGTATTAAATTAAAAAGTTTAACTATCTAAAAAAAAAAACAATAATCATCATTGGCAAAATTTGTTTATTTTTTTATTCATTGAATGAATGAAAGTTTATTTAAAAATTAAAAAGGAGATATTTTAATTTTTAAAATTAATGTTTGTTAATAAATAGAAATTATTTTGTTTTATTTTAGTTAATTTAGTAAAATATGTTTTTCTTTTTAAATTAGTGATTGTAATTATGTAATTATCTAATAGAGTTCATGTTTTTTTACACTTACTTTGTATCTTTCTTCACAGAGTGGCAGAAAAAAGTAAAACCGCTTTTTAGTTTTTAAAAATATTTTTCTTTTTTTTTGCTCATGTATTTTTGTAATTTATTAACGCCAACGGCAATAAATAAAAAAAAATAATTTAATTCAATTTATAAAAAAAGAAAAGATAAGACTTTTGGTGATTTCACCGGAATACACCCCCCCCCCCAAAAAAAAACTGTCTTCTTAACATTTGAAACAAATCGAGTTCATCGTCATTATCATAAAATAATTTAATTACTTTTAATTTTTTTATTTATAAGTTTTTTTTAGGGATAAATTTGTGTTTAGTTTACTTCATAGAAAGTCATTTAAAATTAATAAGATTCATTTTTTTTTATTTCCTTTATTTACAATGTGACACCAAAAGTCGGACATTTATTCTTCAAGGAGAAGTAAAGCGAGGTTGTCTAAATATTGTTACTCGCTCGCTTACTTTTATGATCGACTTACAGTCAGAAATCTATGACATTTCATTGTTATTTGAAATCACAGGAAATCAACTAACTCTCCCCCTTTTAAAAGTATTTTTTTTTAAATAAATCCTCTGTTCCGCTAATATTCAGAATTAAAAATGAAAAATAACCCTCCACATCCTGAAACCTGTGGAATACTTATAAATTCCGGTAGATTTTAAATGCAGGGTGTGTAACAAGTATAGAAACAATCAAGCAAAATTCCAAGAAATTAAAATTCTTAATTCGAATTATGTTTAATTAAATTACCTTTGTAACTTAAGGGAAGAACGGAAGGTTAATGAACACTTGTTTTCATTTTTATTGATTTAAAGTCAAAGATCAAACTGTATTTTAAAAGATTTTCAATTTGATATCGACTTCTCAATAATAACAACACAGTATCTCGGTATCACCTTAAAAGCTTTCTGATTGTGATCATCAGGTGACATAAACATATATAGGCAGGTAGGGGATTATTATCTGTCCTAATAATCATGACATGTAATTCTCAAAGAAATAAAAATATACGAGCAAATTTTCTCGGTACCTTCATGAGAACTAGTAAAAAAATAACATAAATTTTTAGCACGTTTTTTTTTTTTTTTGGTATGACAGACATTAATTTGGAAATCTTGCAAAAATAAAAGTAATTGTCGGATGTTAATGAAACTTTCAGAAACTATTCTCAATGATGGAAATTATTATAAATATGTTTTCTTTTTTTAAAGTCATGGAAAAAATATTTTTTTTAATATTTATTACCCTCCCCCATAGTTAATTTTATGAAAATTCTAGAAATTCAGTCGCATTCAGTTTAGTGATTATATTAGTTAAAAGCACAAGGCAAAGCAAATCATGTATTTTTTTTTTAATTGGACCCCCCCGCCCACATACCTGAAAATCAGCTCATAATTGTAACATACAAAACTCAATAAAACAAATATATCATTTAATTTCAAGTGCTTTTATTTGCTTTTAGTCGTTTTTATGAATATGGACAATATTTCTGAAGGCAACAAATTTTTCTGATGAAAAATGAATTTTTAATTTGTTATTTCTTTAATTATAATAGATTTTTACATTTAAGTTGTTAAAATATAAAATTAGTTAAAAGCTGCATTCAGTTTCGTAACTGTCCTTTTGAAGTAGATCTTATTTTAGTGCGTTGTAAATTGTATCGTTTTAACTAATCAGAAGACCCGCAGTAATTAAGAAATGTAATTTTGTGTTTATAATATGGCTGTAATTATAAAGTACAGAAGACCAACCAGAATACAATTAAGTTGCGTTATTTGAGTTAAGCATTGTTCTCTGCTGTTATTATGCCTTTATTTTTGTGAAACACGTATGGAGAAGTTAATTTGATTTTTCAATTTCAACTGAGAAGGTTACCTACAACTATCAGTATCATCTTGTGAAATTTATATGATCTTATTTTTATATTCATCTCAGTTATGACATTTTTCCATAAATGAAATATCAAAATTAATAATAAAATGAATGGAAATACAAATAACAGTAAAATATAATAAATGTACATAGTATTTTATGTACACTTTTGATAAAATTTCATAAGAAAGTTTTATATGTCATAAATTAATTAGACACCTTTCTTAGGAAATTTAATCTCACCCAACAGTCTTATTTTAATTTCTTTATAATATATTTTCCATAAAGCATTGTAAACGTAAAGGTGAAAGCTAAGTACAAAAAAAAATTAGAGCACTGAAAGTTTTCCTTAAAAATAATGAGGTAAATAATTTGTTCAATTAAATCTAAATAATTTCACTTCTCTCCTTCCATAGAATAAATTACGCTCATGCAAGCTGTCAATACATCTTGAAATTGTCATTCATCACCTGTCAAGTGATGCAAAATGTTATGACCTTCTTTGTTTTATTTTCAAACTACATCTTTTTGGCGCAGTAAGTAAGTAATGCTTGTTTCAAAATATTTTAAATAAACATTATAATTTCTGATTTTCTTAAAATAAGTTTTGAAAAAATTATAATTGATTTTTAAAATACTTTCAAACTGAGATTTTCATTTTTTTTTTTTTTTATAAAATGGAAAAAAATGGTTGACCTGATTAATAAGAAGTAGTTATTTAGATATTTTACAAATATGTTATTTATTTACCAATCTGACGAATTCTTATCCAACCTACTATTATGCCAAACAAGACCACACATAGGTTAGGCCAAAGGTCAGGACTGCCAGATAAATTTTTGGATGTTCATTTTTACTCTCCTTTACAACTTAGTGATAAAATAGAAGTGATTCTACCCTAATCCTGAAAAAATTGAGAAAAGGTTTTTTTTCATTGGCTCAAAAAACAATTTTATTTAAAAAATTTTTTTTTTTTTAACTTAAGCTTAAGGAAATTTGCAACCAATTTATTGGTTGATTCAAATTTATTTCTATATCTTGTGTTGATTCAGTTTGAATCAAGTACAACACATCACGTCAAGTACAACACATCACATTTTTTTTGGCTCATTTGTGACTGAATTTTACCTGTGCTCACTTGAGTTCATAGCTTGACAAGACAAATATTTACTTTTTTCACATTGTACAGGATGGTCCGAAAGTCTTGTCACCCCCTACCAAAAAGTAATGAGAACAATAGAAGAACAAGTAATAGTATAATAACAAAGCACATGTACTGGATTCAGTTTATTCACTTTCATTGACACTGTCGCATATTGAGGGCTGTATGAACGCCATCATTTTCATGTAGGAGCTTGGAAAAATAGAAAATGATATTATGTAGGGGTAACAAGACTTTCAAAGTTATAATAATAGTAAGCAGCAGTATTTCAGTTTATGATATAGGTGTTTTCATTAGTGGAAAATAATTACCTTATTTGGTACTTTTGTATGTGTAATATATACATTGATGTCATACCCATGAAAAAAGACTGGCTATCCATACATAAATAATCCTGTTATCTTTTTTCAGGTAATGTTTTCGTTTTTTAAATGTTTGTAGCACATCAATATTGAGAGAGAAAAAATAACTGTCATTCTCCTACTGAGACAGCAAAGTAGTAGTAATGATATCACCAACAGCAAATGCAAACACACAGGCACAGAACCTTGCTTTACCTGCTTGCTTTCTATTTTCTTTCATGTGAAAAAACCAACAAAGACACATTGGTTCTTATATCAAAATTTTAATTCTCTGAATCATTCTGATCTCTTCATTTTCTTGTTTCAATCACAAGCTTTCTACTGGTAGTAGGTTCTCAGTTTTATGTTGCATCCAGCAAATTCCATTTGTGGCAACGAAGGAGAAAACCAAGTCTTATCTTGAAAAAGAATTTGTATTCTTTGTTATATGTCAAAAAAGAAAATCAGATTCAAGATCAGTTTGACTTTAGTAGGCCTCAAAATATGTTCATTGATTGTGCTTTCCTACTGTACCAGTATGGAGTGAGGATAAAAGCAAAAAGAACAATAATTTTGAAAATTTATGTTTCCTTTAGGATTTGAAACACAATTTGTTAATTTGAACGAAGGAAAATATAATGTTAACAGAATGTGTGTATGTGCAATTAGTCATTTGAATGTGTTCAGTTATCTAAATCTTCAGGTAACAAATCTGCTTCTATCAAGAATTGAGCTTAAAAGGTTAGTGGACAATGTTGAACAAAGCATTTTGATGCTGATTTCCGAAGAAAACAAAACCAGGAAGGAAAGGAATGAAAGAAATAGAGAAAGACCATGCTGAGAACTGTCAGGCAAAGTGAAATTCTTAGCCAGGTAAAACCAGAATCCCTACTGTGTATCGGTTAGCGGGGAGGACAAAGAACCTAATATTGTAAAAATATTTTCCTACAGGTGAGAATCTTCCCCAATGCCCACTGCCCTTCTCTAGAAAAATGTTTAATTTTTATATAAACAACTAATAGAAGTCACTCAGAGAGATGGTTTTGAGAGAGAAGTTGAGACAACAGTCTCATCAAGAACAGAACCACAGCTTCCCAACAAACCTGATGACTGCTGCTTCTGATTGCTAAGTCTGTTTCTTTTGTGAATGAACTTACAATAATTCAGGAAGCTTGACAACATTCTTTTTTTTCTTTTCCGTGAATCTGAAAAGAAACTCCTACCAAAGAATTTAATTGTTAATATTTTTTGTTTGAACTTTCTCCAAGAATTTTTTTTTTTATTAATTCATGAACTTTTAAAAAGATTGTTACTGTAATGTCTAGCTGAAGTAAAATAAAACTTCAGATTTCCTTTTATCATCAAATCTGTTGCAAAATTTCTTCCTTGATTTCCACATTTGAGTAAACCTGAGACAATATTCATAGGTGATCCATTAAAACTTTACTACGGTGCAATTTTATTACTTTTAGTAACAAATTGTGATACACAATGTAATTAACTCCTTGTGATCCAGCAGACTCATCTTCGGCATTGAGAGGATCTCTTCAGCCAGGGATCAAGGGACAGTTCTGCCTTATGTCAGTAACAAGATTGCAGTTGGTGAAGTGACAAGATAGTATTCAGTGACATGATCAAGGCTATATCTGGGATCAGGTCAGCTTAAGGTCACACCTACCAATCACAACATTTTTTTTACTCCAATAAAAGAACGCTACTTTGTACAAAAGGATTGTTTGGCTCTTTGTGGGTGAAGAAGTGTGCATTGTGTTGTGGATTTTTGACCCTTTTTATTTATGCCCCCACAGCATTTTCTGACATTAAACTTGAGAGACTAATTCACAACCCTTGAAATTATGACAATTTTGTGGGGCATCCAAACCTCCCTATGGCTATTCACTTCATAACTTTAATATTTCCAGCAAATTAAAAAAATATAGATTAAATTTTCAAATGAATCTTTATCACTTCGATCAGTGAGGAGGTGAAAAAAAAAAACACCTGAGAAAGGCCAGAGTTCTACAGCCAAAACTTTGATAGGAACAATAAGGGTACTCATCTGAATGATTTTCAAAATAACTAGCACAGTATCCATAAAAATGATGGATTATTTATGTATGGGTCAACACCTGCTTATGCTCAGTTTTTCTCTCCCACATGTTTGCCTAAGATCAGAGTGTAGTATCTGTGCATGCTGCAAAAATCATTGCATAAAAAGTATCCACATAGGAGTCAAAAGTCTTGCACCATAGACTATTTTCCTTATTTATTTTATTTTACTTATTAAAAGATTAGTCATACCATAATTTTTACGATATTGTGACAGATGTGCATATCTTTAAATGCTTCAGTCCTTTCTTGTTTTATCTGATGACCTTCCTTTCTCAAAAATATATATGTGTGGCAGAACTTCACAATATTTCTATAAGTGTGAAGACCGTTTTTGATGAAATATTTCTAAGGTGTAGCATAAGACATTGTTCAGTTGAATGGCTGTATCAGTCTCTTGACACAATACCACATGATTTTTTTTTTTTCCATTGGGGTAATTTAAATTTGTATTCTAAAATTGCTTTAGAATAACTCACATTCTAAAGCAGTGTTTTCCAAACTTTTTTCAACTGTTGCCCCCTTTGAGCACAAACATTTTTGTCATCAACCCATCAAATAAAATTTTGAATGTTATACAGAATTCATCTTTCATAGCAAGATAATCAGTACAAAAATAATTTTAATATTGCTTTCATTTCTATAATAAATGCCAATGATTAAAATGCTAAAAAACAAAGCAAAACAAAAAACTTTTATTTGATAGCTTATCTCAATGTTTTCAGTGCAATAGTTGACTTTTGTGCTTCCTGCCTAAGGCTCTTACTCTAGGTTCCATGCTGCTTAGAAGTAATCGTAGATCTCCTCATTTGGTAATTTGCAGACAGTTTCTTTCTTTAGTCAGAAGCTGTGTGACTGCATTTAAGCCACATTCAGCCATATAAGAAATTGGAAAACTTTAGATACTTTATGGAAATTTCCTTTTGTAGCCAATATTGAATAATTTTTGAAAATTAAAAAAAAAAAAATGGATAAATGTCTACGGCCCTCAAATAAAATAAAATCTCCCAGTGCCCCCTTTCAACATAACTGTGCCCACATTGGGAAACACTGTCCTAAAATGTGCAGACATCAGTAAAAAAAAAAAATCTTAAGAAGAATTCAAAGTACTAAGGAAATTAAAAGTGTTTAGAAATTGAAAACCAGCTGTTTTAATGTTCATCGTAATTTGATAGATATTTTCCTTTCATGCAAGATTTTTGCAGTTTACAGTCAAAACTTCAGATACACTTTTTTGTGCTGAAAACATTTGCATTAACATATTTAAAAACAAGGAATTTTATTTAAAAATCTTGTTTAACATTATATAATCATAACTATAATGATTTTTGGGGGGTGTTTTTTTTTTTACTATAATATAGCAAAAATGGCACATTGTAGTATGGTTCTTGTTAGTGCAATATCATTAAAATGCTCTAATTTAGAGAATAAAGCAATGTTCCATTCAATTTTTGACATAATAATATAGGGGTTTGCATTGATGAGATCTATAGCCAATGCTATTTGTTGAGTAATTTTCATATTTACAACAAATTATAAATTCTATAAATAAGAAGTTATTTGACATTGAGCCTAAAGGCTGCCAACAGCAACTTTTAAACAAATAAATTTAAAAGCATGATCTATGAATAATTTTAATTTGTTTGTTGTTTTTTTATGTTCTTTCAGGGCATGGTTTAATAGAGAAAAGAACTTTTTAATATGGCACACAGACGCACCATTGCACGGCCTTGTAGTTTAGTTGTTCGAAGTTTATTTTATACAAGACCTTGTCAGAGCGAATTTGCTGGGAAAAGGTAAGAAATAAATTTAATCAGATTGAAAATTTGTTTTTGATTTCTATTCTTGTCTCTATCTCCTATCCCTATATGATTAATCAATTCTCTTCAAATGAAGTACTAATCAAGTGAATATTTTTTCTTTAGTGTGTGTGTGTGTGTGTGTGTGTGTATATATAATATATATATATCCAGGTAAGATGAGAATGAATAGCGTACAATTTCAATATTTAATTATAAAAGAGGGCTCAATCCAAAGTAGAGCAATATTCTTTATTTTAGGATATTACATTGATAAGACATGTCAATTCCGCTACACAATTGCAGTCGTGTTTCAATGCACATACAATGCATACAGTGTGTTGTATACGCATTGAAACACGACTCCAATTGTGTAGCAATTTTGACATGTTTTCAATGTAATATCCTAAAATAAAATATACATATACACACAAATAACAGAAAGAACAAATGGAGTAAAAATCCACAGTTCGTAGCATTTACTTTTTAAAATGTGCTCAATAGAAACTAGAGCAAAATATTATTATAATATTTTTAATATACGAGATTATAATAAAAGCATTTTACATCGCTTTACAAAAAAGCGTTCATGTTTCAATATTATGATTGTACTTATATTTTTATTATTATTTAGTACAATCATAATATTGAAACATGAATGCTTTTGTGTAGTGACGTAAAATGTTTTTATTATATTCTTGTATAATAAAAATATATATATACACTAAAGGAAAAAACAACAATGTTGGTGTGACTGACAGACAAGTTGGCAGAGGGTCAAGAAAAAAAATCCTGAACAAGAAAAGAAAAGAAAAAAACCAAAAGGCAAGCACCTGCATATGCAATAAAGTGCTCAATGCCCAGACTACCTGGACAGAGCAAAAAATGCTTCAGTACATCAATACTTAAAGGACAGCTCGAATTGTTACTTGAGTTTCTTGCAATCTTCATACGACTAGAATGCCCCCTGTTACTATAACAATGGATTTTCTATTTAATAGTATGAGACCAGATTGCTAATAAGTACTTGACAGTGGGTGAATATTTTGTTATGGACAGAGAAGAAAAAAAATCACAGTTCTGGAGCAAGAAATTGCTTGTAAATTTTAATGCCTCCACAACAGAACTGCTAAACTCTTGGAGAGTAACTCATTGTGTCTTCTTGGTCTCATGTGTTCCACAGACATGAAGTGGAGTTATTATATTGAATCAATTGCTAGCTCTGCTGCTAGAAAAAGTTGGTTTACAGTGTTGTGATAGAGAGTTTTTCTTGCCAGAATCCATCTTGCACGTTTATAAATCTACCATTCATCTGGGCATTGAATATGGCTGCATAATTTATCTGGTGCTGTGGTTATATATCTTGAGATTTTGGTAAAAATCCAAAGAATCTGTAATGTTATTGGTCCTGATTTTATTCTTGACTTCAGTCAATTTCTCACTATGATAATGTTGCTTCCTTGTCTTTTCTATATTTTCATGGCAATTGTTCTAATGAGCTCTCCTACTTGGTACCTTGACTATATGAATTGAAGTGTACAACCAGATTGGCAATTAGGTCTCATTATTTTACTGTTGAAATAGTTGTTTTAATAATTCCTTCTCTTGTACTTCTTGCTTGTAGAACTCTCTTCCAGTTTCTTGCATCCCTGCCACCCACAATCTTCAAAAATTTAAATTCAACATCAATCATCATCTTTTGTCTTCCTGAACCTTGTCCTTTTATTGTTCTTTCCCCACACTAAAGTCTTCTCATTTTCTTTTATTCTCACCAATCCCTGGTCTCAGAGTGACTTTGTCACTTAGCTTGGCATGAAATAATTAAAAACAAAAATAATAAATTTACATGCAATTGTTCAGTTCTGTCATTTAGTACTTGCATTATTTACATTATTCGAACTGTTATCCTCATCTTCATTGCCATGTTCACAATGTTTCAGCCATTGTGTACTCTGGCCTTCTTCAGGTGATTGGAATTTCAAACCAAACTCCTTATTTTTCCACCGGATAGATTGTTCTAGTTCCATGTACCATATCTTAATCCACATGGCTCAGTGGATAAAGACATTGGTTAGATCCAGTGACTAGACCCAAAGATAAGGTATTATGATTACTTGCATTATTTACAATATTCAGACTGTTATCCTCATCTTCATAACCATATTCACAACATTTCGGCCATTGTACACCTCTTCCAGATGTCTCAGTTATTTCCCTTTCAGTCAACTCTCCAAGTTTGGTTCACCACTGCTGTGGCTAGTATTGAACTCACAACAACATTTGTTCCTTAAAGGTCAGGTGAAAATGTATATTGTAATGTTACAATATTTTCCACATGGGGGCTTACTGATGAAGTTTGCTTAATGTCATACTAGTTTACCCAGACTATGAAAAAAGTAATCACTAAATATAATGCTATATTTGTATAGTTTAAATTTTCTGCATGAATAATCCAGGAGTTTTATTTATAAAATTAACTTTATTGTCAGAACAAATTCTGCTTTTTAAATCACTTGAATTAAAAATATCCATTGAAAGTTATCATTAAATAAAATAAAATGCAATGTATTAGAAACCTGATCTCCTTGATTTGCTAATGAGATATTCTGTTATGTTGTTAACACAAGGCATGTTCATTTATTGGTTTCAAAGAATATCTCCTGTTACTATAACAACTTTATATCTCATTATCTCCAAGACTGGAAATAAGGATGTTTAACTGGTAAATATGTAAAGTGATATTGTGTTATAGATGTGCTGATTCTTTTAGTTTACTTACTTTCTAAGCTGGTTCTTTATTTTCCAATTCACCTAAAGAAGGTTGGTGAATGGACCAACTGAAATATTATGACATAAAGAATTAAAATGGATCCCCTCACTGTAACTTCCAACTTTGAAACCATAACATTTTTTAAAAAAAATAAACAGGTGAACTTGCCATGCAACATCATTTCTATATACTGTATTCTTTTTCATTACAGGTTTTATAGTCATCTATGGCAAAATGAAATTAATAAGCCTTTTCTTGTTTTGTTCTCATCTAACATTTCTTCTGATAAACGGACATTTTTCACAATTCCTAATTTAACACCATTTTCCAACAAACGAAAAGAATATTCAGAACGGAGATTATTAGGGTTTGTATGAATTTTTATTTGATTATATTTCATTTTCTGTTGATGTAAAGACATTTAGAAATACTTTTTTTACATTTTTAATATCATGATCCTTCAGGACATAAATGATTAGTATTTATTGGTCTCTTCACAGCTGTAGGATGCGACAAAAGGTCAGTTTAGTGTGGCATGTCCATCTATGGACATGGAGGTATTGTACTTTTCATTTTTAAAAGAATAATGTCCACAGAACAGTTATCTTGTTCCAGTTTATTAAACTTGTACTTTTAGAAGTTGAAATATTCCCACCAACATGACTATTCCAGAAAACAGTTATATTTGATACAAAATAGTACTTCTCCTAGACTGGTCGTTATCTAAGGCTAGAAAACCCAGTCTATGCTGCTATTTAACCCATATTTGAGGGGGAGTCACACATTTCTCAAGAGTATTAGTGCAAAAGTGAATGCAACAGACTAGGTTAGACCACACATTCTGTATTTTCATACTTGGATTAATACTTATTTTTGCTTATACCTCATTTAATCCACATACTTTAAAGAGGATAAAATGATTAATGTCCTCCTCTTTGTTATTATCACAACATTTTGGCCATTGTGTTCTCCAGCCTTCTTCAAGTGTCTGTTGATCCCGATAACCTTCAAGGAATTTTGAACTGAACCCTTTATTTAATCTACTGGAGTTGATTCTTTTTCTGCTGTCCATGTCTCTAGCGATATTTCATCTTGTACTTATTTACTACTGCTAAGTTATTGCTTGACCTTTTTCCACCAAGTCTGAGTCTATACTACCCACCCCAGGGATTGAACTCAGGATTATTATACCACTAAATTCATAGACCAATTCTTTAATCCTCTCGGCTATTGTCACCTGACAAAGGATAGAGGACACAACTGTTGAAAGCTGATAACTGCAACAAAGATGAGGACATTAATATGAACGTAAATAATATAAATAACCACTTTAGTACGTCACTAATTTCAAGTTTACTTTTGCATACACTGACGACTTAAAAATAAGAGAAAATTGGGAACTTGTGTTATTTGATAATCTAACCAAATGACAATGGAAACATTGAGCTCAAACTGTCAGGATTGGATTTTGTGGTTATCTCCCTTGACATTCAGAATTTTCAATAATTTAATGTAATCTTTCTTTCGTTAGAAATAATTTTTGAGCATATAAAATATGCCGTATAAGTAATAGCATCATTAATAATCTAATGAAGGATCATGATTTTTATTTGAATATGTTTTTATACTTTTTTGCAAAAAATGTAATTTTTTTTTAAGTTATTCCATGGAGCAGATGTTCACTGTAGTTTCGGAAGTGGAAAATTACCCAGAATTTGTACCATGGTGTAAAAGTGCTCGGATCTTTCATAGTCGACAAAACTTCTTCAAAGCCCGGTTAGAGATAGGATTTCCACCTCTCCTAGAGAGCTACACTTCCGTTGTAACTTTGGCAAAACCTCATCTTGTAAAAGTAAGTCCTTTTTATAAATTGATAAGTCAAAACATTGTAGAAACATTGGCTTCATTCTTATTTGTCTTGGCCAAAAGGTTCTTTAACCTCCTTTAAAAATATATGTCACATATGTTAATTTCTAAATATCTAATTATCTTCTAATAATAAAATAATATGTAATAATTTCTAATAATAATAATAATTAAATATTATTTTCATAATTTAATCTCCTAAAGAATGTTTGAAGATCCTGGGGATTGACTCCTGTTTACCTAGTTCAAGGTTGGGGATGAAGGCGATGACAACGATGAAACATTTACATTATTTGGACTGTTATCCTCATCTTCAGGTGATTGCAATTTCAAACCCTTTATTTCGTCCATTGGAGTAGTGTCTCTTCTGGATGTCTCAGTTATTTCCCTTTAACTCAACTCTCCAAGCTTTTGGTTCACCACTGCTGTGGCCTGGTATTGAACTCTAAACTCTTTGGGTCTAGTCAGTGGATCTAACCAGCTTTATCCACTGGGTCATGTGAACCAAAAACTTTTGTAAATCAGGTTTCATTGACATTTTTGTCAAGAGTCAAATGTATTGCTGATAATTTAAAAAAAAAAACTCTATTGCTAGTATTTTTACTATATTTATCTATTTTTATACTTTTATTGTGTTTTAACCCCAGTTTGGGGTTTAACTATTTGTCCATAGTTGGGACCCTAGCAGGTGCTACTACCCCAAGTCAAGATGAACCTGGAAACACCAGCAATTAAGAGGTTGTTCCATGCTCCTCAAAACTTCCTGATCAGAGGCCTTACTATCATATGTAGTTTATAGTCATACCCAGGATAATTATTTGGCAATGAATGAATTCTGAGAAAACCTAAGAATAACAACTAATAATTTAAATAAGATAATGTAACCTATTATACTTGATCCGCCTTCAATAAGCAACCTAATTATAATTAATAGTTAAAGTTGTAACAATAGTTCAATTATGGTGATCTGATTTTTTAGTGAGGCCTGAGGTGTACTTGTTAAAATATTTTGGTGAGATTGCATCATCATTTTAGACAGTTATTAGGCTTAATCCATCTTATTGCAATTATTTTATCCTTGTTATCTATGTCCAGGACTATGTACCCGGCAAATGGTAGTCAATCCTGGTAGGTATATTATGTGGAGCAACTGGCTCTAAAAGATAGTTCATTTCAAAATACATTTGCAAAGGACTTTTACATAACCGGAACACAGCTGTCATTGGCCTTATGCCAAACTAAGTTCAGGTTAATAAATATCCGCCTGGAAAATGATTTTTGCATATTTTCCTTGTGATGATCGGGCATTCAAATACATTTTTAGTATTCCTGGATTTATGTAAAAAAAAACTCCAAGAATGGAAAGTGCGTATCATTGAAACTGACAGTAAATTTTATAGTCCAACAAGATACAGATAAATAAAACTGTGTCAAACACTTCAGACTTTTGAACTGCTTACATAATTGGAATTTTCATCTGGAAATCTTTTAAAAACCTTTTTCTTCAAACATTTTATAAGATATTAAAGTTTTTATTTATTATGACAATAATATTGATTAGATATTGACTAAGTTTAATTTAGTATATAAGTGAGCTGCAGTCATGAGATTGAATTGACTAACAATAGCTTGCAACATTGACTGGATTAGTTATCACTCTGTGTATATTCAGTATCATGCTTAGCACAAAGTTCAATAAAACTGAACTGTTAAGAAATTTTTTTTTTCTTTCTTTTTCCATTAATATTTATAGCTTTTATTTTTATTTTTTTTAGTTGATTTTATGTTTGCTTTAAACAGAAAAATGAATGAAACTTTTTGATGTGATATATTTTTCTTGTCTTCTTTCAGTCTGAGTGTACAAATGGTAGAATGTTTAATTTACTCTTAACAACTTGGCGGTTCCGACCAGGATTGCCTAATAATGAAAACACCTGCATGCTTGACTTCTCAGTAAGTTACCTTGATTTTATTTGTAGAAATTAACTCAAAGAGTTCTTTAAATGATTTTAAGTTATAATTTTTCCCAGAATGTTAGAAATCAAAAATTTATTTGTAATTATATGCATTTATTTACTTTACCTATTTTCTTGAAAGTTGATGTTTTAAATCTTCATGACAGTTCTACAAATAAAAAAAATCTAATTTTGTTAAAAATTTCTACATTTGGTAGACAAAATTTTATTTTTGTGCTGTTTCTATCAATAAGACTTTCAGATCTGGAAATTTGTTCAGTTTTAAGAAAAACTAAATTTTAAATGTCAGGATTTCTTTTTAAAGGACTTCTAAACTGAAGTATTACTTTCTGTCTGCTAAATAAAAGTATGATTTTGAAGTATTCAACTACTGTTGAGTACCTAATAAAAAGCTAGGGTCTTAATAATTGGGAGTATTCTTAATAAAAGGAGGAGTTAAAAAATTATTTAAAGGGTCAAAAACTGTGAAATTAATAAATGGGAGTGGTCTTAATAAGTTCAAGAGTTGGGGAGGAAAATTTCCTTAAAAGAAAAAAGTCATCTACATTACTATCCCCATTTTGTTATCTAAACTGTTATTTAAATGTTTTGCAAAGATGAAGAAGAAGCAGTCCTTGTTTTTATGCTGTTTTCAGTATTCGCAGATTGTGTATTTTGTCCGATATGTACAAACTTGAATCTCACTAGTAAGATGAACATTGTCATTTACAATGTGTTTCAACACTGTCATAATGCTGCAAATCCTGGGTTCCATGCTATTATTTGCAAACCTTTTATTGATTCCACATGTACTGCCTACAAAGAATCCTCAGGTTACATTGGTGATATAAGGTACTGTGAACTGACACTGGTGTGTTTTCTTTAGGGAATCAGAAACAAATTTCAGGGCTGTCTATGGTCAGTACAATTGATTCAGAGAACACATCAGGCCCATACTTGATGACCTGTAAAAAAAAAAGGTAATTTAGCTGTTGATCAGGTCAGTTGGCAATGTGTCTGCATTGATGCTGTTGAAACCACAGAAGGCAGAGGAATGCCATCAAAGACATTATATACAGAATCCTTCCTCTGCTACCACTAAAGGTTTTTTCAGATGCCCTACTTATGGAAACATGTGCCATTTCCATATTGGTCTAATTTGCTGTGTGAAAGAGAACAGATGAACTTTATCTGAAAAGACAGTTTATGATGAACATGCATAGTACAACTATTAGTGTATATAAAATATATTAATTATTTATATTTACTGTTTATTTTCATTACTGTTCAAGTGTTAGAGTTTAAGGTTAAAGGTGTTAATTTTGTTTTTATTTTTTTTAAATAAGCATAGATTAAAACTTAACTATTCTCAAAATTAGAAAATTCCCTGTAATAACTCAGATTCTTTGAACATAAATTTCCTGCCATATTGAGATAAAGAAATTCACAGCTGTATTTTCTTTTGATAGACCATAAGTTAAGATCCCTTTTAGCACTAAAGTTATATTGTAAACTGTACACTTCCCACAAAACACTATATTTCAATACACAGTGCTAATACTTGTCACATGATCAACTAGGGGCACTAGAAATCTACAACTTTTAAAAGATGCATATTTCCAAAAACCATATCTTAGAGCTAGTAACCCCAAGGACTATATCTTAGAAGCTCAGTTTGGTATCATTTGAAAGCAAAATCAATTTACTGTCAATATTTACATGATGAAGGGAACACATGAAAGAGTTTATATGTCATTATCATAATTATTTCATATATAATGCAAAACAAAAAGCTTACAGAATTCACAAAATTAAAAAGAAAATAACATCTTGATAAAACTAGGCGCATAATACTACATACCAACACAATAAGAACTCCAACTGAAAAGAATTGATCTAAACTTAATATAAAAATTGTTAAACTTCAAAGACAATAAGAGATTTAATTAATATAAAAAGTAATAACAAGCTGAAACAGGAATTTACACTAAAAGATTAAAAAGAAATGTTCTAAGAAATACATAAGTGAAAATTAAATAAGATTATATGAATGCAAAATATTACACTCAATGCATTAAAAATGCAATAGCTAAGATTTAAAATGAATTTTTAAAAATGAAAACCATACTTGAAGCTTTAATTTTAGTTTTAATTTTAAGCTAATACATTAAATTTAATATTTCCAATAAGCAAATTACTTTGCTGTATTTCAAAAACTAATTTAAATTGACTGGAACAAGTTTGTTTTTTTCTTAGTCATCTTTCATCACAATATAATTCTCTTTATTAAAAAATCTTCCAAAAATAAAATATACTTTTCTAAAACTTTATTTGAGGAGTATTAGCTAATTTAAAGTATAATTAATTTGATTTGAAACAAATATTATTTACTTTAAGTTTAAAATATTGCAGAAATGCATTTTTTTAACCTGACAGTAGCTATCATGACAGCTTGATGACAGATCTAATGTCCTATGGAAAACAATTAAAGAAAATGACATGCATCTTTTTATTTAATTTTTAAGTATTAAGTAATCTTAAAAATTTAGGAAAATATTCTCTATAATCTAATATTTTATTGAATTTTAGAAATGTTAGTTTTAAATTTACTATATTGCTTTCACTTTCAGATAATGTTGTGTATGATCATCCATACTTACAAATATTGGCATGTTTATACACATACAAAAAATTTTTTAATTCTTTTAAAAATATTGGTGTTTGATGATTTGTAGTAAGCTTTTCCATTTATGATTAGTAAATATACTTTTCACTTAATTTCAGCCTTTTAGATGATATTAACAGAATTTTAAAAGATTTAAAACTTTATAAATTTTTCTAAAATTTAAAAAAATGAAAACAATTGTAAAAATTCATTATTTATCAAAAAATTTTTTTTCTTAAGACAGTAGTCTCCTTAATATATCTCATTTATAAAAGCAATTAAAAAATTTTTCTAATTAAATAATGTCATAGTTTTATTGCATTTTTTTATTTTAAGATTCAGAGCAGATTTCTGTTAAATAGCATTTGTTTGACAAAAACAAATTTAAATTCTCCAAGGATTCTGCTTTTAACCAATATTAATATGAAATAGCTGAAATTTTAATTTCTCAAAATTAGGTGGGGGTAACAGATGTAAAAAAAAAAAAAAATAAATAATAATAATAATAATTTCATTTGTGAATAAGTATAGAAAATTTCATTAAAATCCAACAATTATTTGATCTTTCTAAGAATTCCCAAAACAATGTGCCAAAAAAAGATGCTAAAATTTCCAATACTAATTTTTGGCTCACCTGCTAATGCAAGAAAAACAAAGATTTTTAAGCAAAATTTTGGACATGCTAGAAAGGTTTAATAAAATAATAAAAAATACTTTGATCTTTCCTCTTAACAAATATTTTGATGATAACACTGTTTTTATAAAGTTTGGGGCCTTTTTTCATCATATGCTTTTTTTTAACAAAATTTTTAGAGGTACCTACATTATAATAGATCTGGACATAAACTGCATTCTTTAAATTGAAGTTAATTAAGAGTCTTTCACAGTAAATTTCATCCACAATCATAACATCTTTGCATATAAAGGAGTGAATTCAATGTGATGTAATCTTTTTGAAACAAACAGTATTTAAATACTTTTTCTGTTTGATGTGTGTGTATTTATTTTTAGTAATTTTAAAGTTGCAGTCTTTGCAGATTTTTTATTTGACAATTTTATTTCTTCCCAATCCAGGTTGCTTTTGAGTTCAGATCTGCCCTCCACTCACAGTTTTCAACACTCTTTTTTGATGAAGTTGTTAAGCAAATGGTGAAAGCTTTCTTGAAACGAGCTTACACCATTTATGGACCAGAAAGTATAAAGAGCCAGAGTCCCAAAATTTTAAAATATGTCTCTTGACAGAAAATATATTTAGAAGGCAAAGTACATCTTGTAAATATTTTTGTCTCATAAATGGTTATTCTGTTAAATCTTTTTCTCAAATTGAAAATTGTTTTTTAAAGAAAGAGATTTTTTTTATTCTTTATGGACAGTTTTCTTGAAGAGAATGTTGTTTTTCTTTTTTTAAAAAAATCCCAAAAGGATATTATAAATATACTTACTGATGAACACCACACATTCTGGTCTTAAGGAATGTTTAAAGATTGTTTGCAATTCTCTTTATCTTTGAAAATTAAATTATATCAAATATATATATATATATTGTGTGTTATTCCTCTGTCATTTGCTTTTATTATCCTTGTTTAACAGCTAAAATATTATTTGTTTAAATAACATTGAATTAATAACAATATCTGTCTATATTTCTGAGATGAGGTATTATGTACACTATTTACATTATTTGGACAAAGATGAGGACAATAGTCTGAATAATGTAAATAGTGTAATAAAAATATGTAAATAAACAAGATATTCATAAAATTTTATTTACATGGAATTGATTTTTGTTATAAGAAAAACCAAAATAAATTATCATCTTTCCTAAAACAATTCCAACATCAACAAAAATAAATCCCTGCCTTTTGTTCAAGAAAAGATGAATTTCACTTATTTTCTTTACATTTGATGCTGGAAAATAAAACACCACGTTTTGGTTACCTGGTCTTTTTTTTTTTTTTTTTTTTTTTCAATAATGTGTTACTGTCTTTAGGCTCCTAAATGGATAAGCTTGTTTGTTTTTAACTATCTGGCTTACAGCCAGGTCATGTTGAAATACAGATTCTCATAAGATCAACAAAGTTAAGCAATGTAGAGCCTCTATTGAAATCTGATCAGGGAAACTAGTCATAAATGGAGCTTAACCATTATTTCCAACCTTTCTCAAATATAAAGCTCATTCACAAAATAAATACAAGGGTGAAATTATCACTACATCCCGTCTCTTTTGCAATTTTGATATTAATTTCATTTCCTTTAGTCATGCTCCTATGTGTACTTTGCTACTAAACAGTTTCATTATGTCATGATCAATTCTGTCAAATTACAACAGTTATATCCAATGAAAATTTCAGATCAATATTCAGCTAATAAATTACTTAAACTAAAAACTTGTTTCCACCATCTCTCTGCACAAATTCACAAAATTTGATTTGATTTAACAGTTTCAATTACCCACATTTTTTTTAGTCATAAGTCAGGTATGTTAGCCACACAAACACAAAAGGGGGGTACTGATTTTGGGAAGTGGGCCTGGTTTTTAAGCAACCCGTCATGGGCACACACACATATGGTGGCTTTATTTGTATTTAACAATTTAATTTCTGTTTTGATTGCTTCCTTTATGATGATGGTGATAATGACTAAGGAGACCAATTTTTTGCATAGAAGAACCAATCACATTAAGTGCATAGTAATTTTGGTAGAGGTTGATTTTGTCAAACCTTTCTCTCTTTTTAATTGACTTCTTCCTTTTCTCTTCTGAGATTATATATAACTTCTTAATATTTGATCTTGGGAGACAATGCCAGTGTATAGCACACTATTGGGAATTGCCTGAAAACTCTAGTAATTGGTTTTGTCCAAGACGTGTCAGTGAAATTAGGTAGATGAAACTATCTGGTACTAATGATGGTTGTGCTAGCACAAAGTCATTGTGGCTGAGGCTCGGAGGGTACTGGGCTTGGTCAAATGTTGATCATACCAAATAATGAGCTCTCTCCCAGAAACTGTTGAATGGACTTTATTATAACTAAGGTCCATTCAACATAGTTGCAGTATAAACCACAGGTGGGCTCTGTAGGTGTTGAACAAATACAAATGTATCTGAGTGGGTATCTATAACAGGAATTGGGTAGCCACTTTAGCAAATGGGTGTCCTTAGAAATAAGCAACCAACCATTTTGTGTGTGTGTGTGTGTGTGTATATATATATATATATATACATACATACATACATACACACAGCATTTGAGAATGGTGTTAATTTCTTGAATGGATATCGTTCCAATAGAAATCAAAGAGAAAAAATTTTCAGATTATAGTTACAAACATTACATTTTATTTAACTTTAGGATTCTGCACATCTCAGGGTATTTAACATTTTGTTGCAGGGACTTTAGAATAAAAATTAAAATCAGTGCAAACATCTTTTCTTTCTTAACCTTGAAAAAAGGAAGAAATTTTAAAAGTGATTAAAAAGGAATTAAAAAAAATATTTGGCTGTTTTTTTTTCCTGTCATCAGAGACTTAAACAAATTCTTATAAGGATTTCCAGTTTGGATGTTGTACAACACAAACTTATAAGTCAAAAGCTGGGAATTTTGCATTGGAAGGATCCATTAAATCAGCCATAAAATAAATTGTACCAGCCATACCTAAAAAGAGATGAAATTGAACAATAAAATTAAATCTAGTAAAATATATGAATAAAATTAGACAATATACAATCAAAAATAATTTAAAATCTTTTTTTATTACAACATCTCAGTTGCTATTAAAAAAACCAGACTGATTTAATGAAACATCTATATTTTGCAACTTCATTACAAAGTTGGTCGCTCATGGGAAAAGTGGATGACCAAATATGGCACAGATAATACTACATGCAATGTAGAAGAAAATATGAGAAAATTCCTGAAAATACCACTTGAGAAATACAGAAAAATCTGGTATGGCAGATCATATGTGGAGAGAGAAACAATCACACCATCCTTTCTGGAATCGGATCAAAGTAATAAAGAATATTGCAAGAAGGTAAGAAAATTGAAAGGAATTGTATATGATAGACTTTTTTTTTTCTAAAAGTTCTGACAACAAAATCAGAGTCATGGTCATTTTATTCCTCAAATAGTTCCACAACTGATATATATCTGATGTGAAGAAATATCTTGAAAAGAAGGGACTGTCATTCAAGATCATCAAAAATATTCTTGGTTTTTTTAATCATTTCATCCCAAGCAATAAAGCCACTGAGACACAGAGGGTTACTGAGTGTGAAAATATAAGCAAAAGAAAAAATTATTAAGGATTGAGAAGAATAAAAGAAGAGGGATCAAGGCAGAAGATAATGATTGACATTGCATTTAAATTTTTAAAGATCAAAGTTGGCTGGAAAGAAAGAAGCTGGGAGGGAAACCCATATGTAAGAAGTGCAAGAGAAGAAATTGTTACCATAGAACTTACAGTTACATCTAGCTATTTCAACCCTGAAATGATGAAACCTTGTTGCAAATCTAATATTGCCCTTAAATTAATAAAGTCTAGGAACCATAGAGGAAAGTTCATCAGAACAATTATGAAAATATTTATATAAAAAAGCACAGGGAAGCAACATTACATCAATTGAAAGATGACTGAAGCTGGGATGCCAAGTGAGGTATGATGGTCAACTATAAAACTACTCCATCCTGCTCTTGCCAAGCTAAGATTTGCATCCAAATAATTTCATATGAAAAGTGTCAAATACTAATACACAAACCAGTTTGTCTTGATTTCAATACAAAAACAAACTTACCTTCAAACAGTGAAAAAGGACGATCTGGAGTTCGGCAATTGTGTTTGCCATAATCAAAACACCATTCTGCAAACTGAAAAAAAAAGGAAAAAAAAAAAAAAAAAAAAAAAAAAAAACAGAAGGAATAGTCAAGCAAGTTATTATATACAATGAACTCAGAAATCTTATAAGTAAAAGCTTTTTAGAAAGAAACTGTTTGATTATTCTTAATCCAACTCCAAACTTCATACCAGAATTTCTCTAAAGTATGCCAAGAGCTGGTTCCAAGCCTGCATGTGAGAGTTGGGCATGAATTAGCAGCCCTACTCAAAAAACATAACATAATGCCTTTAGAACAGAAATGCCACTATAAGGATCAACAAGCCAAAATCAGCCAGGGGAGGAAACAAATATTATTCACAAAGATTCATTAATTCTTAACTCAGAAGAATTCTTCAGGTATGCCAACTAGACATTATCATTAATGATGACTTTTAGAAATGGACAAATCAGCTACCTGTCAAATATGAAATCATGGATATATAGGAAAACTAGCAGCTGATACTTCAAAAACAAGCCCTAACGTGCAATCCCCAACTGGGGATAAAAATAAAATGAGGATGACCAAAAAATATCTGGTGGACATCTGCAGATTTTTTAAGTTTAAGTGGATTTTAAATGCTTTAGACTCATTGTATGTCAAAACTTCATCTGCAGATAGTTGATGTGAAAAAAACCAAGATGGAACTCTTTTGAGATATCTTGTCAACATTCTATACTTCAATTAGGATGGAAAGCAGAAAAAAGATATATTTACATTAGTTAGTTGGATTAATGTTCTCATCTTTGTTGTAACTATTACCATGTTTCAGCAATTATTCAGGTATCTCTCACTTTCGGTCCTCTTGAGGTAAATTTTAAACTGAACCCTTTATTCAATCTATGGGGGTAGATTGTTTTCATTTGTTTTCAATTGTTATCATGCTGCCTATGTCTAGGGATATCTTGTCGTTTGTTATTGCTTGTTCCCACCGAGTATATCTTCTGTACCTGGCCCAGGGATTGAACTCACAATTACTGCACTACCAAATTCATTAATCAACAATTTAATCCTCTAGTCCACTGTCTCATGGGACAAGCATGAATCTAGAAATTGGAGCATTAAACTTAATGTTGTTCTTGCCTCTTCTGTTGTTAAAACCTTGTTGTCAAACTTAGCTCTCTCTCTCTCTACTGCCACATCTTTCTTTTCTACTGCATTCCTTTTTAAGTTAATTAAAAATTCCCTGAAGGTTACCTGGATTAAAAGACACCGGAAAAAGGCCATAAGGCACAATGGTGAAAATGTGATAATAATAACAAAGATGAGGATATTAGTCTGCATGTAAATAATGATAGCTCCTCATCCCAGAAATTCAGACAAAAAAAATAATTTCCCTAAATATACTTTTGTTTATAATATTATACTATCATATATGAGACACTCAGATAACTTTGTGATCATCTTGCTTCATCGTGGTTTTGAAATAGGTTTTGTTGTTGCCGTTGTTGTTGATCTGTTGCTAATCTTTTTTTTTCTGAGAGATATTTGCATTTCACTTTTATATTAAACACACATAATTTTTAATATGAGAAGATATTGCACCAATGTGATTTATACAATACCAGGAGTAATAAATAAATCATAGATACCACTGAATATTTAAAAATATAAATGGAAAAGATTAATTAAACAGTTTATTGACCTCCATTTTTGTTGTGAATTCTTTATCTCCACTTTATTGAATCTCAATAAAATTGTTTCAAGATTTTTTTTTCATTTCATTTCACTATTAAAACTTTTTAACAATTGCTGTCATTTTTTGATGACATTAGTATGCTAGTTTTCTTTATAACCATTTCAAAATACAAACACTAAGAACAAAATTTATATCATGCTGCCTTTCTAAAGAATTCTGAAATTCACTGATTGACAATTCACAATTTGTAATTCATGAAAAAAGTAAATCAATATTTGTAGAAAAAAAAAAAAAGAAAAACCTGTGGAAAAACTTCTAATTTCTACATAGAATACTAATTTAATTTTTTTTTTCTGATGACTGATCAGCGAAATATAACTTTTCCAAATTCTTAGATATTTAGCATAGATTTCTAAAGGAACCTCAGAATCATCGAGCTACACACTCTTCTCATGCTTATCAGCTCCTACTATCATCTAATGAGTAGAAAGCTTATCTCAGAGACTAATTCACTTGTATAGTGAAATTTTATCCTCACTAGGTGCTCCACACTTGTGGCCTGATTCTAGACGAAGCTAAAATTAATAAATAACTTTAGACATCTACCATAACATAATAGTTATCAAGTTCCTTTTGCAAAGCATTTTGCTAATGTACTAGATTTGATTATCACTTGGTACCTTATGACTTTGGTTTCATACCAAAATGAACTTAGTATGCTCGTCTCATTCCAATTTACTCATGCAACAGTATCATTGTAAAGACTAATAAGGATATAGGACTAAATCTTTCATATGTAAAATTATTGTTTATTCACTCCTGGACTTTGTTAATTAATGTTAGCATATGGGTGTGTGGCTTGGTTGATTTTCTCCAAATGTGGATCAACATTTCATCTCTTTCCTCTCAAGTGGAGCACCTATATAATTTCCTATCATGAGATGTTCACATACTAAACAAACTTGTTTATGTGTCAGAGCAGTCACTGACATCCTTTGAGGCCCAATTTTGCACCTGGTGACTATGAAGACACCTTCCAAGTTAACCTTCTGATGCACCTATCTCTCTTGGTGTGAGAATGAGTGCAAAGCTTACTTTGGTAACTCTAATGAGGTCACCAAAGATCAAGACATCTTACAACAAATGTTCTTTATTGACATGAAATTCAATTCAAACCTCTGATATTTACTGGTGGGAATCCCATACTACACTAATATAATGAATTTCTCACTTGGTATCTCATTATTATGGCCTTATGCCAGACCAGTGCTTCCCAACCAATTTTAGGCTATGCACCACTTTGGTATTTCTAAAATTCCCTCTGTAATATTTAATTCTTACATATTCAATATTTTACTGCAGCTCACATGAAGGAAGCAAACTGAATGCTCACATTTGTGGATTGTCTGAAGAAACATGGGTTCTTCCAGCAACATGCATCACGCCCTCTCCTTCGTTGACCGAGGCACACGAGTGTGTGGAGACGAGAAATACCCTGTATGCCAATTATACATGTATGTACATACAGACAAAATATTTTTAGGTATGCATACTGTATATGCATCGTATTTATTAACACTCTCACTCAGACGCACTAGAAAACAATTCACTGTTAATAACTCATTCTTGAATTGTCCCCTTATTTTTTTGGTATAGTAAGCTGAAGAGTGCACATCCTACACGTACCTCACCAAAATATTACCATGCCCCACGTTATGAATCATTGTGTTAGACTGAATTAAATGAACAAACTCTGGCAATGAAAAAAAGCTTTAACAGCATTTCTAGGACTTACCTTTATGGCTTTATACAAATAGCTTTTCTCTCCAGTCAACTTGAACATGAGAAGGAAAGCGTATGCATTTCCTGCCGTACCATGGCAGATGCCATAACCTTTCTGCAGCAAACCTCGTTGCCATATTACCTCTGCACATTGTTTGGCAGCATTCAGATATTTATCTTGTTGAAATTTCTGAAAATCAGTATAAGAATCTCGTATATTGTTTGATAAGCAAATAAATTGGGGAATAAAGATAACAAGACCTAATTACAAGGCATTTTTTTGAAAGGTCAGAGTAAAACAATGAATGATTTATAGATTATAATATTTAAAAAAAAAAGATTATTATTTATGCTATAGCAGCAAACATGTCTTAGAGTTCAAGTAACCAAAAATTTTTTGTTACTGTGTCAGCTGAATACAAATACATGCATTTACAAGAAATGAGTGATGTCCGGTCCATGCTAAGAACAGTTCATTACAAACTTTTCCACATGATAACACTATTACATTTATTATTACTACTAGGGGCAACCAACAAAGTAACGCAGAAAATATTAGAAAATTAAAAATGAAAGAAATAATAAAAATGCTTCATCTGAAAAACTTAGATTATTAGATCAACAATTGCCAAGTGTAAACAAGCAACAAAAATAAAAGATAAACTAATCAAAAAATGAATAATAATGAAAATGTTTTAAGAAATTCTAGTTAGAAAAAAAGTTTATTTTTTTATTTATTGTCCTTGAATAGTTTCTCCATCTTTTTTGTTTTTTTTTTTAAATCATAGCACATTCAAGACTAGAACCACAATGGTAAGGATTGAAACGTTTATACTTGAACATTTTCCATAAAGTTCTTCTATAGTATTATTGAAAGTATTATGCATTCAACAAAAAATAAATCAACAGATTACATGAATTTCTTTTTTATAAGTTTACCCTTTATCCATGCTTTGAATATTGAATATGTATGGTGTGGTACTCCTGTTATATATTTAGAGATCCTTGATAAAATCCAAAGAAGAATCGGTCCTGACCTGGCATCTTGACTTCAGCCACTTTCCCACTGCCATAATGTAGCCTCCCTCTGCTTTTTCTATAAATATTTTCATGGAAATTGTTCTGAAATTTATGATTTTATGAATTTAAGTGCAATACTAAATTGGCAGAAAGATCTCATTATTTTACGGTTGAAATGGCAGCTAAATGTAACCGTAAATTGTATGCTAACATTTTCTTTTCTTGTACTTCTTGTTTGTTGAACACTCTTCCAGCTTCTTACTTTCCAGCCAAGTTTAATCTTAAAAATTTAGATGCAATGTTAATCATTATCTTCTGCGTTCTATATTCTGTTCATTTATTGTTCTCACTTTAATAATTCTTTTTTTTCCTTTTCTTATATTATTTCACACCCCCTGCATCTTAGTGGCTTTGTTGCTTTGCTTGGAGTGAAATGATTAAAAAAATAATAAAAAAGAAGCAGCTTAGGATTTTGATCAAATTGATTGAATTCTTAAATGCAATATAAAATAATGTATTTAATAACTTTTGAGTTAATTTTCTATTTTACTGTTTTTTGGGGGGTTTTTTTGAGTTGCTTAAACCACACAGATATCAGTAGTGGAGTTGCTTAAGATTTAATCAAATTTGAGTACAGTTGCTTGTAAAAAGAAATTGTGTAATAATTATTAAGGTAAGTTATGACAGCAGAGTCAATGTAGTTTGACTGTATAAAAACGACTACATGTATTGAAAGCAGACAGAAAGGTTATGTATCAAAAGATGATTGAGATTGAACCAAAAGGTATTTTATTTACCTGATAAGCCAAAGCAAACATATGGATCCAGCCAGGTGCTCCATGGCACCAATGTACCAATTTGTCTGTTGTGCTGCCATAGGAAGAGGGACAATTGCCTGAAGGAAACTGCAAATTCAACATGTAATCAATAGAAGGACGTACCAGTTCCTCAATTTGGGATTTCAGTGATGGCGCATCAACCTAAAATAACAGAAAGTATTTTTGTTTTTTTGTAAAAGGGGGCTCTGGTCAATAGGAAATATTTCAGGTGTACCTAAAACAATTTTACAACATATATCCCCATTATTAGCTGCATTGTTTTTCTTCCATGTAAACTGACATGTTCAAAGAAAATTTCAAAAGTAACTAGTGGTGACTTCTTTTGAAAATGGACAAAATTTGGCATCATGGTATTATCAAGTACCTGCAGAAAAAGGGTTTTGCCCCCAAGGACATTATGGAATGATGTTCCAGCTTTATCAACAGTGCAAAAGCAAGTGACCGAATTTAGGAAAGGAAGGGAGAGTCTTTAATATGACCCAAGGCCTGAATGTCCTGCAACTGCCAGAACTGAGGAAAACATTGATGAAGTTCATCACATGTTGATAGATGACAGGTGATTGACTATAAATTAAATAGTCAATGCTATTAGCATATTCTGTGAGGAAGTTGTACATCTGACACCTGATCAAATCACACCCAGCTGATCACATCAAGGGAAAATATAACATTGTTTGAGGCAGATCCAGCTGGTTTCCTTAAACATTTCTTAACCCCGGATGGGTGTTGGATTCTTCACTTTGAGCCAGAAAGAAAGAGACAATCCATGCAGTGGAAACACCCCTTCTTGTCTGCTCCAAAGTAGGCCATGGTCATTTCATTGACAAGGAAGATGGCCTCAGTTTTGGGGGATGCAAAAGGCATTGTTTATTGACTATCTTCAAAAGTGCCATACCATCAATGGAGAGTACTATGCTAACTTACTAAGGAAGTTATGAAAGGCTATCAAGACCAAAACGCCCAGCAAAACCAGTATCACAGTGATGATAATGTCAATATCTACTGTTGATAACTTTTTTGACCAACAGGATGAACAGTCTTCTTTAAACAATCAGATGTCAGTTTATCTGGAAAGAAACAATGCAGTTAATAATAAGAAGCGCTGAAATTAATGCATGCCAGATTTCACAGTTCTAGCATCACTCCTTCATAGTCAGCTTCTGAACATTTCAGCCCAGCCTTGCAAATTCTTATACAAAGTAGATAAGAATGATAATTTTATTGACAGATATAATACTGTTTAGCTATTCTTTTGCAGAATTGATAAAGCTGGATCGCCATCCCCTAATGTAGCCACCACGCCAGCATGAATGTCCTTGGCTAGCTTTTTCTGCAGATACTTCATAACACTATGATGCCAAATGTTGTTCATTTATAAGAAAAGTTGCCACTAGTTATTTTTTAAGTCTTCTTAGAGCAGTCAGTTTACTTGGAAAGAAACAATGTAATTATTAATAAGAAAAGTTGAATTTAGTGCACATCAGATATCACAGTTCTAGCATCACTCCTTCATAGTTTTTTCTTGGATCATTATGATTTTTGTTCTTTACATTTGGACTAATGTACTCATTTTTGTTGGTGTTATCATGTTTCGGCCATTGTGCACTCGGGCTTTCTTCAGATGACACTAGTCTAAAGGATTAAAGCATTGGTTTGTGAATTTGGTGACATAGTAATTATGAGTTCAATCTCTAGGTCAGGTAAGTACAGACTTAGACTGAATGGGAACCTAACAAACAGTAATTGAGTAATACTAAAAAGAAGACGAGATATCTCTAGACATGGTCAGCAGAACGAGAACAATCTATCCCTGTAGATTAAATAAAGGGTTCAGTTTAAAATTTCCTGAAGGTTACTTGGATCAACAGACGTACTAAACAAAGCCAGAAGGCACAATGGCCAAAATGTTGTGATAATAAAAACAAAAATCTTCATCTCAGAAATTCAGAGAGAAATGAATTAATTACTGTTTATTGACTTGACACATCTCAATTCCATGCCACTTCCAGAATTATAAGACATTAAAATACTACTGTTGTGAATACATAGTTACTCAAGAAAGTTTGAAGACAATTGGATCATACAATTCTTAAACAAGGTGTTCCAGAAAATGATGAAATATCCCAAGGAAATTTGTACTAGTGTTCCTTGGTAGAAGTGTAAAAATTGAAGAATTTCCATTCTTCTGGTCTTAAAATATGTTGGTTTTCTTCTCTACTGGTATAGAAACATCAACTAACACATACCAACAAGAAACAGTTGGCAGAATAGTTGTTATTCTGAAAGGTATGCATCAAGCATACCTTTCAGAATAACAACTATTCTGTAAACGTAACATCACCATCACCAGGAAGAAAGAGAAGGGTCCAGGAGGAAGATCAAGAAATTGCCGTGGTCTGTCTGCCTTATGTCAAGGGCTTATTGGAAAAGATTCAGAAGCAGCTCCACTATGTAGAAATCTCTGAGAAGTAATGCCTAACACAGGGGAACATCTGTATCTTCCATTCTTTGCAGTTGTTGCAAAGAATATAAAGGTTAAACAAGCCATTCCCTAAAAGTAAGTCTGGAAGAACATCGAAAAGCTGTAGGAAAGGGTGAAACAATGAAATCAGGCATAGCTGATCATGTATGGAGGGAAAAAAGTAGTCACCAGCACCTGTGGAATGAAGTTAAAGTATTAGAATTAGACAAGGAAGAACACTGGAGAGTTTTCCCTAGGATTTAACTCACAATTACTATGAATAATAATAACGAAACGGACCCTGTTTTTATGACACAGTTTCTAGAGTCAACAGTGGCCTTCAATGAACCATCATCATAACAGCATGACATTTCATGGTTATCTGATCAAAAAGATTAACTCTTTACCTTCATAAGAATGTAAAATATTCCACAAAGACCATGAGCAGCTCCAAAATAATTCTTATCATGCCACTCATACATCAAAGGACATTTGCTGTGTTGTCTGTGAGCCGTTTGCTGACCAGACTTTAGAATCTTATGGCAAACCTGAAAGAAATTATTTACAGATTAATTATGATAGATGATAGAAAAAAAGCAGTTTTTTTTTCTATTTTTTAGAGAAAAATGCCTTAAAATGTAGTTGAAGATCAGTTAAAATAATAATGAACAAAACACTTACATTGATAAATTCTAAGAATTATCATTGACATTCACCTGAAGGATAACATTTTGGTCAACTGCATCTTTTCCCAAATAATGTTGAATAAAGAGCAAAGCAAATAAGTAACCAACACAGCCATAAAGTAATTCGTCGGGCAGAGATTCATCTTGCATGACTTTATGCTGTAAATTGTACAACCTAAAACGAGTGAAAAATGACAGTAAAGTTATTGGCTATTAGAATAAAAGAAATAAAAATGGATGTAATTAAACATTAGGCAGTCTATATATATTTTAATCATTTTGCCCCAAGCAAGGCAATAAAGCCACTAAGACATAATGGGTTACTGAGTGTGAGAGAATATGAAAAAAAAAAAAGAAAAAAAGAAAACATTATTAAGGAAAGAAACAATAAAAGAACATGAATTTAAGAGAACAGAAGATAGCAATTGACATTGCATTTAAATTTTTGAGATCAAAGTTGACTGGAAAGCAAGAAATGTAAGAGAGGAAACTGTTAGCATATATATATATATATATATATATATACACACACACACACACACACACAAGCTTAAAAGACTCCCTATCTCGTGGTATTTAAGCTAGCTCCTGCAGAGGCCCCTTGATTGGGCCTTCATCACAATAGGTAGGGAGATGTAGATGCAAACTACAGAAGAACTCAAAATTAATCACTGCATTTAGGAACTGCATTCATATTTAAGCTTATCTTTTAAAAAGTTCAACAATAATTCTTCTGCTGCCACTTAATTTAAAGAAAATTTGATGTACGTATGTCCTTACTTTCTGTACAAAGAATTATTTTTAGTTCATGGAAGACTTTTGCTAGATTTTGCAATTAATTTTGATTATTCCCAAATTTATTTCCAAGTTATAAAAATTGTTTGTTGCAAAAAATCATGTATAAAAAAAAAAAAATCAAAAAAAAAAAAATCACCAAAAACAATCGCAGTAATGAAAACTTAAGAATCTAAAATTTCAGGATTGTGGGTCCGGATCTGGCTTGGAATGTTTTTAATTTGCTTACAAGGTCAGTCTGATTCCAAAATGGTATGATATGTTGGGCTACGGCCTGAAGGAGTAAAGTTGAAAAAGTGTGACTGACACAATGACATTGGCATTTATTATATAGATGTATGTAAAAATTCAGATATAAATAAAAATATATCAGTAAAAAACAATATGAATAAAGACAAAAGGAAAACTTTTCTTTACCAACACATTTTGTCCTCTGAGAGACTTGATTTTTTTATCAGTGTGTTGCTAAAGAAAAGTTTTCTTTTGGTTTTTATTTATATATATATATATATATATATATATATATATTCAAAGATATAATAAAAAAGATTTTTTTTTATACACACATTACAATTTAAGTGATAATTAAAACCATTTCATGCTTATAATAGAAAAGAAAATCAACAGTAATATTAAATTACACAACTTCAATGCCTCATCTTTCAAACTTAAAAAAAAAATAAAATTACACCCAACTTTCTCAACATCTAGTCATGTTTCCCCCTACTCCAGCTCATAGATATGCACAGTATATCAGCTCCATGGAGACACACCCAACTAGTTCAGATCAGTCAACTGACAAGCAAATCTATGGTATTAAATGGAATATTTGCTATAGCCCATCTTAATTCACTAAGACAAATCATGTCTATATTTCTGACATGAGGTATTGTAACTATTTACATTGTTTGGACTGTTGTCCACATCTTTACTGTTATATTCACAACGTTTCAGCCATTTTACACTCCGGCTTTCTTCAGGTGATATACTTTGGAATTTTAAACCAAACCCTTTATTTTGTCCACTGAGGTAGACTGTTCTAGTTCCACATGCCATGCCTTTTCTGGATATCTTAGTTTCAGTTATTTCCCTTTAGTAACTCAACTTTCCAAGTTTTTGTTCACCTCTGCTGTGGCCAAGTAAGGAACTCACAACTCTTTGGGACAAGTCACTGGATTACTCCAGCTAACACTTTTATTCACTTGGGGACATCAGTGTATGAATTTTTGGGATATAAGCCTAATGTCTCAGTAAACATTTTTACCAGAGTTCATATTACAATTTGTTATTATTATTGTTTTTCTCTAGCACTCTGTATTACTGTTCCCCATATTGTATTCATGTCTATTCCAACATATATCACCTGAAGAAGGCCAGAGCATACAACAGCCGAAATGTTGTGAATATGACAAGAAAGATGAGGACAATAGTCTGAACAATGTAAATAAGAAAAATATGTATAAATTGTCACATCACTTAAGATTAGAAACCATGGAAGCCATACCTTCTGTAGCATCCAGGTACTTATAAAACATTTTATCAAAATCCATTTGTTTAGGTTAAAATGGAAAGTATTAAAGCAATAAAAATGAAGAACCTTATAAAATAATTGAAAGAGAACAATTAAAATAAAAAAATATAAATTTGACACGGGTTTGTTTCGAAGTCTTACCTTCGAAGACAATCTTCAGAGTCAGAGGTTTCTCCCAGCATACTGTAGAGTACAGCACCAATAGCCAGAGGGCCTGCATCTCCACACAAAAAGGTCACACGGTGCTTTTTTAAGTGTCGCAAAGGACGCTTAATATATTTCACTGCTTCTAGAAGTTGTTGACTATCATTCTTTAAGGGTCCAGCCTTGTAGAGATGTAGGTACAACAAAGAAATACCTATACAAACAATTTGGAAAATAGCATTAAACCTGGTAAAATATTTGGAGTTTGTAGTGGGAAGTTTCGTGTGAAGATTTTTACAATTTTTGTGAAAATTATAATTTTTTTTTCTTACTAAGGTTTTGTTAGATTAATTCTTATCCTCATGAATTTTGTCATAAGAATAGATAATACTGATTTTATGCAAGTCACAATAAAACTAGTATTAAACAATATTGCTAAAATTTTCAGGATATATTTATACAAGCAACATATTCTGCAAGTTTTACCTTTCAATACCTATCTTTATTTTTTAAAAATTAATAATAACCTATTCTGAGAATGTCATAATTTTTATTTATAAATAAATCAAAAAGATATAAGCCATAAAAATATATTTGATTAATGGGGTGTATTTGAATGGAAAGATAGAAAAATCCTATTTGATGCACTTCATCTTTGAAAAGGCATGACTATAAATGTTATTTTTAGTACGCAGTACTTCTTTTTAGTTTAAAAGCAGTGGCGACAATATTTTGCACCTGTAAATGATGAGTATAAGAAAACAGAATGAATTTCAACAAGGCAATATTTTATATTTTGGTTTTTATATAACTGAGTAAAAAGAGAGAGAAAATACACAAGTATACATGGGGAAAGAAAGGCATTAAAAGTTAGTAATTATGGCTGTGATACGAGTGTGTGTGTGTGTGTGTGTGTGCAAAATTTCAACTGCTGTAGGAAAAGATATCCCCATGCCCAGGAACAAAGTCCCAGTCATGTTGTCACTCTAGAATGTTGTAAGGAAAAAAGAGATGAGAGAGAATGAAGACAGGAAGTGCCCAGTTTTTATAGCTGCTGGATAGCACCATCTAATGACTTCTCGGCAAAATTTGTGAAGCTATGTGGGGATAACCCACAGACTTCTTCAGACTAATTTTTTTACATTGAAATCATATATATGTAGAGGGAGGGAATGAAATATAATAAATGTTGATTATAATTATACATTGAGAGAAACACTGATGCAAGGTTGCTTAACTTGAAGTTTGAATTTAAAATTTTTAGCATCCAATGTGTCTAGTAAGTACAACCTATCCGACCTCATTCAGCTTTTGTTTTTAAATACGCAACATTGTAATAGCAACATTTCTGTTAAGAAAGGCAATATGCTGTTTGAAGCTAGCTTAACTTTATATACTGTAGGGATACAAAAGGCGATTATCTCCCTTTGGTTGAGATGAAGTTATGTGGATCATGTGACAGGCACTGAGTGATGAAAGTGGTCATTCTAACAGTTAGCTTCCAGAAGTCAAACCAAGCATTTGCAATTACAAGTAAGACCCCATTATTTTCACATTTCTTGCAGTATACATGTTTCTCTGTGGGACAAGTATAAGTGTTTGCATATAATTTTGTGTATGACTTAGCAGTATAAAACTCACTCTGAGAAAAAAAGCATGTTTGTAATTCTTTTCCTTTCAACTATTCTCTTCTGTCTGTGAAAGAATGTGTTATTTTTAGTGCTGGGATGTTACCAATATTTTTACCAATACAATTCCCAACACTGTCCTAAATTTACAATTCCGATACCTACAATGATTAAAATTCATTATTTTCATTTATTAATAAAACATTTAGTAGAAAAATGAATTCAAAAGCTTATGAAATAAACTTAGATATCCTTTTTATTTAAAAAATTGGGTAAGTACCTAGCTACAATTGATATATTGCTTTACTTTGGTTATCATCAGAAATCTTGAAAAACATCCAAACTACACTTTTCTGCTTGGCATTGGATACACTTGCCATAATTGGGGTTTGATTTTTCGCTGTTAGATAAAAAATGTTTCTAGTTTTCTAATGTGTATGATTTGTAAAGATTCAACTAATAACGGTTTGCTATTAATTATAAAATAAAAAAGGGTCTACTTTTTGTCCATCTTTTAAGTTTTAACACACAAAGCTGCCCTCTAAATATTACACAGTATATTTTGATAAAGTACAAGGAGCACCTAATCTTGTAGGACGATGAATAAAAAATAAACTTTTTTTATACATTTTTACTTATAAAACTTTCATCTCATTTGGCTCTAAGGAGAAATAAATGAAAAAAATAGTTTAAAATATTTTAAATGCCAAAATAATTTAACACAGGAAAGTTCAATTATGCCAAAGAAAAATATTAATAAAATTAAATACAATTTTTGATGGAAATTAAATTTTAGATTTTTCAATACAAACTTTTGTGTGAAAAAGCTTTTTTTTTTTTTTTTAAATTTCAAATGAAAATTTGTTATTTTCTTAAGTAAATCAAGATGAAAACCTATAAAATTTTAAGAAATAGATGAATTTTGTAGAAACAAATTTAAAGAGTGTTTGCTTTTTTAAGTCTTGGTTATTGAAAAGAAGATTTATTTTTGTTTACGTACCATGCTACAATAAACAAAAATAAATCTTTTTTTCAATAACTGAGACTTAAAAATGATTTTATGGATTAAAACTATTATAAAAACAAATTGCTGTAATTTAACTGCCTCACCATGAGGACAATTTGTGACACAAGGTCAATTTTTTATGTGAAGAAAACAAATGTGACATTAGCAGGAATTCCATACATTCATTTTTTTTTTCTTTTTTATAAATTAAAAAAAATAAAAATTTTCTTAAATGAGAGTCTAACAACATGAATTCATTTTCTGTTTATATTACATAATTTTGATTATAATTATTAAATTAATAATCTATAATATTAAATGGGTGAATTAACAATGTTTAAAAAGAAATTAAAAGTAAAAATTTTTATTTTTAACTGCAGCTGATTTAAACTAACAAATTTTATGGAATGTTTAAGAACTGAGTAGAAACTTGCACTTATTCTTTTTTTTTACACAAGTAAAATAAATTTACATCTGATCTTGTTTCTTTTAATGATGGATCACAAGTTTCCTGTTAAGGCTGCAGTGCTTTATATGGTTTTGACAGATGTCCAGAAATTGATGTCGCTTTCTTTCAGCAATACGTCTAGTCTCACCGAAGCCTAGAAGAGCAATGCCCACCACGTCCACTCGCTTGGTTTTTAATAGGTAGTGTTGTTCACTTATGCAAATAAGTCTGCTGCATAAAAATGGCAGTAGGCATACACACGCGCGACCGACTCTCAGAGAATGGTTTGACACACGAGGCAGCAAATTCATTTTGCTCCTGGTAAGTCACTGTCACATCTATTTCAAACATTTTTTGGCAAAGTGAGCAATAGTCCACTTTGCAGAATGTAAAGGAACATTTTCTTGCAGGAAAAAAAATTTCTTCTTTATGACACATACCACTTAAAAAATATCTTGTTCAAGAACTTATAATAATTCTCTGCATTTACTTTGACACCGTCATCAACTTTAAAGGAATCTATAATTTTACTGCATACTATACTAACCAAATAAATATCTCTAAGCTTTTAAAAAAAAAAAGTACTACAAATCTTTATTGTTAAAATGCTGGAATCATCTTTAACAATAAGCGTGTGAGGTTTTGAAAATTTTACAAGAATATTGGGTTAAGTCCTAATTAAACAAGAAAAATATTTATTTTGAACCATTTTGAAATAAAATCCAAAAAACATAACCAACCAGAAATGCCTGTGTATACAGAGAAGTCATTACTATCTTGTGTTTTTATTCCTTCCTTCATGACTGACAACAAATGGTTGACGTTGTCAGTGAGCTTCTTCTTCAATGATTCCTCAATCTGAAATTAAAAACAAAAAAATAATTAATTACATTCAGACTAATTTTCACATTATTACATTTCAGTCATTGTACCCATCAATCTGGGTAATTCTTTCAAACAGAACACTTTATACAATCTACAAAGATATACTGTTCTCATTCTACTATCAATGTCTATCTTATCTTGTTCTTATTTAGTACTGTTCAGTTATTGCGTACCCTCTTTACACTGTACTACCCATCCCAGTCATTAAATTCACAATTACTATGTCACAAAATTCACAAACCAACACTTTAATCCACTAGGTTATTGTACCAGGGGACATTCCTGAATCTATATCTTGAAGCTTTAAACCTAATGTTCTTCTATTCTGCTTGCTACTGACATGCTTGAGTGCATTCACTGCAGCTTCCCTGTTCTTACTGCTGTTTTTAAAGCCCTTTCAACATTTCTCTTTATGGCTCCTATATGGTATTTTAGACAGAACAAATTTATCATTTAAATAATATGCCACATGGATTTGTAATTTTTTTTGTCTGTAACTTTTTATTGTGTAAAAGTTATCTTACTTGCACCAGGTAATAATGTCTTTATTAAAAGGTTAGTTGACAGTTTCAAGATGTTGATGAAGTTGTGAAGTGAAGAGACTGACTCTGTCAAAGAACAGTGTGTAACAATTATAATTAGAACAAATAGACTCATATATGAAAACCTTCTAGTAATCCCAAAGTTTTACCAAAATATCAATTTCATATTTGCCATCACAGCATTTTTGACAGCATAAATAAGCTAATCATACGTATAATAGTCCTCTTAATCATACTTGCTTTAATTCATGATGATTGACAATGTCTTTTTTCTTTATTTTCAGTTTACAATGTCCAGATTGCTAAATTTTATTCAAACCAATTTTAGGCTAAGAAAAAAAAAAAAAAAAAAAAACTTTGAACAATTGGTGTTTAATCATCAAAATTTTATCTGTCTATATCTCTGACATGAGGTATTATGATTACTTGCATTATTTACATTATTTGGACTGTTATCCTCATCTTCATTGCCATATTCACAACATTTCGGCCATTGTACCCTCCGGCCTTCTTTAGGTGATTGGAATTTTGAACTGAACCCTTTATTTCATCCACCGGTTTTGGATTGTTTTAGTTCCACATGCCATGCCTCTTCTTGATGTCACTGTTATTTCCCTTTAACTCAACTCTCCAAGTTTTTGGTTCACCACTGCTGTGGCCTGGTATTGAACTCTCAACTCTTTGGGTCTAGTCACTGGATTTAATCAATGTCTTTATCCACTGGTCCATGTGTCCTTCCAATCATGTGAAGAAGGTATGAGCATACAATGGCTGAGAAACATTGTGAATATGGCAATGAAGATGAGGATAACAGTCCAAATAATGTAAATAATACAAGTAATCAAAATTTTAATTTTTAAATACAAAATAATTAATAAAATTAAGTGAAGGGAATGCATCATTATCAGATCCATGACCAGGTGGGATTGTGTGTTTACTGTGTAACTGAGTATCTCCAGCATCTGACCAGTTCTTTCCACATATAGAGAAGTATCATTCATGCATAACATGCCTTGGGCATGTAGACCTGGCAGAACCCATCCTCCAAGTAAAACCATAGCTGATGTTTTCCAGTTTGAAGACTTGCTTTGATGACAGACAATTGCATTGGGGAAAAACACACCACGTCTGTTGACTTCAGTCTAGGAAGCCATCTGTGCATTAATGCCAGGTCATTGACGATGTGTCTACCCCATTGTGCAAAATGGCCACTGATCCTACAAAAAGGTTCATCAAGTGTTTGATGGGTTTTTGTTTTTGTTGTGGAGTAGCTAAGACATACCTAGTAACACAAATGAACTAAGCAAGATGCCTTAAATAAAGAGTCAGGAGAAGTCCGTTGGAGTCAGTAGAGAAGAATCTCTAACAAGGACATCATGGCAAGTGCCTAAGTGAAACATAATATTATAACCACTAGGAGTGAGTTATAACAGTTTTTAAACCTACCGAGTGTCTAACCACCCTCCACATAAAAACAATCTGGTGACGGAACCAGTTTACTCACCTATGACCCAACCATGCAGCAAGTAGTACTGGCTTATATCATTTGTGAATGTGGTCAATGCTAAAATGCTACTACAATTAGTTTTATTTTCCCTTATAACCAAGCTTTTTACTGTGTTACTATGTATGTAATAATTACAAAAGACTTCATATATTCGTTTAATCCTAACTGATATGCACAACTTCATTGTATATCCAAACGGCTTCTTATTTTTGCAATAAAATGACAAAATTCAACAGGATTTTATTGATACAAAAACATACTCAAACATATCTGGTTAAACTTTGCATTGATTATCACAAGATTGGGGAATTCAAACTCAAACATCAAGAATTAAAATGCAAACCATTGCTTTACAACCACAGAATGCTTATCTCACAGACCATTGTCAGTGTTGTAAGCTTGTTTGGTATTGAGGGCTCCAACTATTAGAGTCCTGTATAAGACTAAGTAAAAAAAAAAATAATGTAGAGTGGACACATGCCATAGAGTGATGGTTAACAAGCTTGTCTTATGAACATGTATAGCATGTTTGACATTTACTATACCTATATTTACATCTATAAACAACTCACTTTCAAATATTATGGTCATAGCAAAAGTAAAAAATTTGGGTTTTTTAATTTAAAAATGACAATTTTTTGTTGCAAATGTAAATCAAATACATGAACTAATTCAGTGTATACCCAAGTTATATGCCTTGAATACTGATAACTTAAAATAAAGTAATTTTCTCTGTGTGTGTGTGTATGTGAGGCTCAGGAGCCACTCCTGGTAGAGGTTACTGAATGAGGTGGGTGATATGAATATAAAAAGAGGCAGAAGGAAATGAAGATTATGAGGATAAGGAGGATAGATAATGATTGACCCTTGACTGTAATAGTCTTTAAAGAGGTTAAGATTGTTGTATCCATACAGCTCCACAAAGTACCAGTTTTCATGGAAAAAGCTGTCAAAGTGAAACTTCCTCCTTACAGATGGAATATGGAGGAAATGTGGGTGATTCAACTCTGTGGACATAGCATAGTGGTCCTAACTATAAAGGTCTGCTGGAGTGGTGATCATTTAAATATTTGCCATGGAAATAGCAATAGGCTTTCAACATTTTGTTTGTAGAGACTGTAAAATGGAAAATAAAGCATTCTCAATATAATCATTGATGTAATGGAATAACCTGCCACCCCCATGAGTGGCGGCACTATAGGTAGTTTACCATCTCAAAGCAGGGAGCCTTCATTGAGAATGCAGCCGTTCATTGTAACTGGAGAAAACTCAGAGACTGATCAATGATGATACTAAATTGGTTTAGAAGTATTGAAAGGTACAAGCCAGTTTTCAATACCTCTAAAATCAAACTAGTATCATTTCCTCATCACCAATTGGTTCAAGTGGCTTCAAGAGATTAAATGATATGGCATGATCTGAGCCTGTTCCCAAATAGCTGAGATCCATACTCCTACTTGTGAAACATTAAATAAAAATGTAAGGTAGTTAAAAAAAAACATCTTGCACTTGTCAACACAAAGCTTAACTTTGTCCAAGTTTTCCACAAATGAATTCATTTAAAAATGTTCAGCTCAAAAAGTTCAACTCAGAACCAAAGAGAATATCAGAGAAATCTCTTGTTTCTGGTTTATTATAACCAAGAAACAATTAAATTACATCCCTCCCACTTTAGTCAGCACTTAAAAGACATAGTTGCACTTAGGTTTTTTAATGGCATGTATTGGTCAGTCAGAGTCTATAATGTCTAAATCAGATGGCATTAAACTTGCATTAGGTGCATGTGAACTTCATGTCTCTCTACCCTTTCCTTTTGAATATTCAATCACTTCATTTGGTCCAGTATTAGTTTGAGCTGAAGATGGAACATCTGAAAAATCTGTCACGCTGTGTAACATGAGTAGAGATGTCCATTGGCTTATTAACAATGGGTTCCATTGTCATATTCACATCAATATGATCCATGTCTTTTCCATGCTTGACCATCCTTTAGTTGAACTGGAAACACCAATGAGCCTAACTGTTCATCCAGAACCTAAGATATCCATTGAGGGCAGTGTTTAACCTTCATGCCCGAAAAAAAAAATGGTGTGTCAAAAAGAACAGTTGTTCCCTTTACACTGCTATTACTTTATACATTATTGACTTCCTCGGCAATATCTATTTACAAGATTATAAAAATTATGTGAACCAAGTACAATGTACTTGGTTCACATAATTCACATAAGTTTATTTGCAGATGAATTTGTTTAATATCTAACTCAACACTCAGCTCAGTACTAAACAAAATGACAGAGCAGTGTTTTCTAATTATTATAACCAACAACCAATTAAATTACAAATCTGGCACAGGGCCATAATAATGGGACACCTTGTAAGTATCAATCTCATAATACTAATAATTGCTAAACATCACTCTATGGAGGGCATCTATCAATATGGTATTCAAGAAAAAAAAGGGTTGGTCAATTTCATAAAGGGAAAAATCTTTAAATCCCTAATTTGAAAACATGTTTTTTGTTGTATGACATAAAAACATTATTTTCTCTCTCTCTCTCTCTATATATATATATATATATATATATATATATATATATATATATATATATATATATAAATATATTATTTATTCAAAATTATAACATAAACATGTTATAATATCACTACAAAAATAGTCATTTTGTTTCAACACTTCTAGTGTCTTATCAAGTGATGTTCTAACACCATCACTTGAGAAGACACTGGAAGCATTGAAACAAAATAGCTATTTTTGTAGTGATGTTATGTCATGTTTATGTTATAGTTTTTGAATAAATAATATTTGGTCTACTCTGTATTGAGCACTCTTTTAAGAATAACGTATTTGGTTATTGTAATTTTATTTTATCTACACCAATCCTATACTTGGATGGATGGATGGATATATATATATATATATATATAGAGAGAGAGAGAGAGAGATAAAGAAATATAGTTTTAAGGTGTGCTATATTTATGGTATAAAGTGTTCAATATCAGAGATAGAACATATATAAATAAAAGTGAACATTGAAGTCAACACTCAAAGGTGACAGGCTGTTTCATGCTAGACGCAATCATCAGGCCACCTATATGACATTGGACACATTCATTTATTTTAAATGTTTTATTAAATGAATAACCAAAATTAATTTTTAAGCTTTTATAACTTACATTCATTAACTGAATATATTTGGGGGGAAACAAACATTACTGTCAGTGTCATAAAACTAAACAATATTGCAAACTATTAGACACTGCCTTTAATTAAAAAAAAACAAAACAAAAACAGTCTCAATTTTTTTCCATTTTAGAAACATTTTTAATTCTAATGAAAGACAGCATTTATCAAGTGTACTACTTGTTTGAATTGTTACCCTCAAGGTAATGTTTTTTTAGTTCTATTATTTGCAGAACAATTTGTGTGAGATACAGCTTTTTTTCCTTCGGCCCTATATAAAATGAACGCTGACAATTTTCAAAAACACACAAGGATACTGGATACATAATGAAAAAAAAGCCCAAAACGTAATAAGTTTTAGGAAAGAATTTTTTCATTATTAAATATTATTTTTTTAATCCTTTTTAGTATCCTCGAAATTTTGGATATTTTTTTTTTTTTCAATTAAAAAAGGGGAATTACAAATAGACCATAAATTTGAATGTCTTTTGCAAAAAAAAAACAAAAAACTCATTGATTGGGATATGTTCCCCCCACCCATATTTAGTTTTTTTATGAAATTTCGAGAAATTAATTTTTGTAGCACTTGGAGAATTTAAAAGACCAAGTTTTTTTTTTTTTTTTGTCAAACAGGACCCCTTATTGGCTCTGAATCATAAAATAAAAAATGCAAAACTAAGAAAAATGAAATGTTGCAAGAAAATTTTTCATTTTTATTTTAAAGGACATTTTATTTTAAAACTTTGGTATTTTTTTATGAGTTGCCTAACAAAATTCCGTTTTTTCGATTTTTGACTTATTTTGTAACAAATCCCTACTTTACACATGTGAAAGTTAATCCTTGATGTTAAAATGAATGTGATACAGAATGTCAACTCAAATGTATTTTTTTTTTCAAGCGAATCCAATAAAAACATGAAACTAACAAAGAAAGATTCATATTTCGGGCATAAAAGCACATTTTAAGGAGAAATGCAACAAAACCTCTGTAAAGTTTAGGGACCAATAATCTGAGGTAAAAAAATATATATTAATTAATAAAAAAGTGCAAAGCGTTTTAAAACCATATTGTGCACTTTTCAATTGAATTAGAGAATAATGGAAAAACTACAACCTAGACCTTAAAGTAGAACTGCTGAAATATTTTTCATTTATTTTATTTCAATATATTTTAGCTTAAACTGAATTAAAATAAAATTTAATAAAAGTTGACTTTACCTCTTCTTAATTTAAAAAAAAGACAATTTGAATTTTAAAAAAAGAAAAGTAAAAGACAAATTGAATTTATAACATTTTTTGTTTCAATTTAAAGTGTGAGAAGATTAAACACTGAAAAATTACAAAAAATGTTTTTGGAGTTATTAAATTCAAATTTCCTTTTTAAAATTAGTTTTGCTTTTTGTGTCAAATATAAAAAGAAATACAAAAATGTACAAAAAACACTTGGGATTTGCACAAATATAAATATTCATCTATATACAAAATAAAGATGTAAAGTAAAGAAAAACTCAATTTTCATGGAAAACAACTTTGAAAATTGTTTGATTGAAATAAATAAATGTCATCTCTGCTTTTCAACAGTGAAAACAGATGGTATGTGGTTTCGTTCATTTTCTGCTTATATGGTATGTAAATAATCTCAATATTTTTCGTATTTTCATCTCTATCCATATTCACTTTTGTTTTTAATTTAAACTCATTATTTTTTAGAGTCATTTTTTTTCATTTTTTATTTACTTGAATAACCAAATTAAAAGAATTTTTTCCACTTTTTAATTTAAAAAGTAAAATAAAAAACTAAGTGATTCAGGTTTTTTTTTTCAGAGTTAAAAAATTATTATCGAATATTTTTCTGTATAAAACAATGTGTTTTTAAAAACGTCTATCCAAGATATTTAAAATCCACGTGCTTTTTATAAACATTGTTTTCTTTTCAAAAACAAGAAAATAAACTTGAAAAGCTCTTAAAATCTCAGGCGCAATTCTTGGTCTAAGAAAAAAAAAAAAAAAAAAATAGCAGTCCAGAAGGGCTAATTTCTTTTACAAATATCTTTTTCTTTAAAATAATAAGTAAAACTATTATTAAAAGAAAAAAAAAGACTGAAGAAAAGCTTGCTTTTCTTTTTACATGCAACTGCTTTTTAAAAGGTAAAGAGATGAATGCCGGTTTGTTTACTTTAATTGAATTGTTTTAATAATTATATAAATGGCAAAAAAACGCAATCACCTTTCCATCCGGCCCAAGAAGAGTCATCTCTTCATTGTAAGGCGGAAAAGGGTTGTCAAAATGCCGCCTTTCACCCATAATCCGAAATGAAAATTAATTGTACAAATACGATAACAAATTCCAAAAGACCAGAGGAAATAAAACGATGAATTTTTATTGCGGGTTTTTAATTGTTATGCTTAACACGAGAGGCTTTTTTATAGTGACCACTAAAATTAAATGAAAAGAAAATGTCTTCATTACCTAGTTGATACTTAATTAGGTAGACTAATTATTACTTTATAAATTTTTATACATTTTTCACATGATAATTTTGCCTTGTCTCTAATGAAAGAGATTTAAGCATGATCTATAAAAAAACATATCTTGATTTTTCTTTTAAAAAAATTCTTCACCACAAGATCAGAATGTGACATATGGTCATTTTTAAAAGATATGGAATCGCATACTTACCTAATACACACCTGGGAGACATCAAAGTATACCTTTGATTACCTCTCTCTTAGTATTATGAAATAGTAATACTCTGAAATAGTAAATGTTTGGTAGTATAAATCCCAGTTACCAGATTTCAATTAATTATTGGTTTCTGAGCATGAATGAGCAAAAAATAAATAAATAAAAATTAAAAAATTAAAAAAAAGAGAGAAAATTAGATTTTATTCATTTTTTACTATTTTAGTAATGTAGTACAAAATTATTTTTTTTCTTTTTAGAACTGGACAACCTTTTGGTTAAATTTTAAGATTTTGAATGATATAGAAACATTTTTTTTTTTTTTTTACTATTGACACCATATCCAACTTCTTAATTTTCAAAACCTTGCTGAGTCCATCAGATCACATAAAAAAAAGCAAAATACAGTCAGTAGACAAAATGTCTCTCAAAGTGAATACATCATAAGGAGATGAAGTTATGACTGTCTTGCTCCTATTGTTTGACCAGCACATTCTTTACATAAATGATCTGCGTAAGACTATACTCAGATCTTTTGTGAATATATATGCTGATGATATATGGGCACATCTCCAAAACTCAGGTGATCAGAAACTGGCATCTGATTTCTCCTTTGACTTAGTTCTAACAACTCAGTTGGGGGAAAAAATGGTTGGTCACAAAGTAGTGATGTTTCATCATCATTGAGTGGACCCTGAATTTTTGCCTATTGTGATAAACAGGCATTTTCTCAAGGAAACCCCATGCATTGAGCACCTATTGTAACTTAACCTCAACCTAGACCTTAAGTAGAATATGTATATATGATACATTGATAAAGATATTGACAAAATGGTTGGTTCCTGTACAACTCCAGTAAGTAACTAATTCCTCCTGCTATCCTCTACCTTTACAAAGGCCAGATTAAGCCAAAAACTGAGTATTGCTGTCCAGTCTTCACTTTCCAGTTGTATCTCTGTACTCTCTATAAATCCTATACATTTCAAGAAGAATGAGAAATGTCTTTGACACAAGTACTGAGAATATACTAAGTGAGAAGTTGTTTTTTTTTATAATAGTCTTCCTGTAAAGTATTAAAAAAAAATTTTAATTACTATTTTTTCTGTCTGAATTTCTGGGAGTTGTCATTATTTACATTATTTCCAATTATACTATTGTCCTTATCTTTGTTGTTATTACCACAATGCTTTGGCCATTGCACCCAGATAACTTATTTGAACTTGGTCTTTAATCTATAGGGACAGACAATTCTTATTCTACTGACCATTTCTAGTGATGTTTCATCTGATTCTTTTTAGTACTGCTCAGTTATTGCTCACCGTGTTTCCACTGAGTTTAAGTCTATACTACCCAGGCCATTCAGTCTGGACAACACTTACTCTGTGATGAGCAATAAAAACATAAAGTTGGAGACAAGAAAAAAAAATTTAAATCTTAAAATAACAGATAGATAAAGCTATTTAACTTTTTTTGATAATAATATTTTGTTTTTAAATTTCATCAAAATATTTTAAAGTCTGTCATTAGATTGAAATGTACATGTACACATACACATATGCATATACAACCAATTTGAATGAAATTGAAATGAACATCAGTGTCACAAGAGCTAATTTTTCTCTTTTTGTCTGGCAACAACACGAGTAACAGAAAAAGAGTATAAGTCAAAATATGTAGCCTGTAGGGTTGGTAGGTATGCAAAAGATGATTATCTTTCTTTTTACAAGACAGATATACTAACATTCTAAGAGGCTCTGAAAGTCGCATGATATCAACTTGAGGTGACAACAGTTCCTTATGAGTTCCCAGTAGAGACAGATGTGGTAGCCAATAGCAGCTTGGCAAACAAGTGAGTACCATGCTTGCTAAATAAGAACATAAAAAATACAACTGTGTCTCTCCTAGAATTATTACAAGACCTTTGTAGAGGGTGTGATAGCTATGATTTTCTTTTTGTCAGCTCTAAGGTAGCAATGCCTCTAACTATAGAAACATGACTAAACACAAACATACATTTATAGAACAAACAATAACAATTACAGGACATTGGTACTATGGAAAAAAAAAGAATGAGTCACTGTTAGAGTAATTACTTTGTTGTGGGGGACTGCAAGCACCAGTCATAAATCACATGTGTAAGCTTTTTTAGAGTATATTTAGTTTTAGTATGTGTAGCTCATACTTACCAATAAATCTAATTATCTATTGAAGGGGTGTTAGTTCTTGTGTCAAATTCCTTGTCCAGTAGTAGTGAGTGGAATTTTACTGCACCAATGTGTTGAATAGATGTGTTGTTCCTGGTTTGTCAATGTGGTTGCTTCTCTTTTGTCGCTATACCACTATTTAAATGCTGATTCTCCTTTGCTTATATTGGTAGAGATAGACTCAACTTGATCTTTTGTTTAATTGACCAATGTTGAATCCTTAATTGTAATTTGATGGTTTTGTTATTTTACTGAAACTACGTCCATGTGTTATTTACATTACAGCATCTAAGTGTCTAAGTCAACTAATGCTTTAATCCTGGTTACATCTGTCCATTTGTGGGAAAATATCTTTTAGGTTTTTGGAGGTGCAAAACCTTCTTTGTATTTGACTTTTCATATACTGCTTGCATTATTCCTTTGTGCAATAATTTCTCAGCATGGAACAAATGGTGACAGATATATTTGTTTATAACATATTTGTATATTTTAGTGCTGTATATAAAATGCCTTCAGCCCAAATTAATTTCTGGAATTAATTTCTTTGAGTTATTTTAGTTGTTCTTTCCATTGTGTTAAGATGTTAGTATTTCACAAATATACTAATGCCTAATGGGAGACTAATGGAGAAAACCAAGATAAATTTTCTTTTTCCAAGCAACCCCATTAAACACTTTGATGTTATTTTTATAACTCCTTCTGGATTTAAATTGAATATATTTTCTAATAAATGTAGGATTTTAAATGGACAGACCATTTAGATTTGAGATCTGATCATCTTGCTGTCGGGGATCCTATGAAATAATTTCATGATTCTTTCTGTATTTAAATTGAATATATTTTCTAATAAATGTAGTTTTTTAAAGAATAAACAATTTAGATTTTAAATTTGATCATTTTGCTGTCAATGAAGCAACAGGTATCCAATTAGTGTTATATATAAATAGCGAAGACGGTTTCTATCAAATATGGTACCATTATACTTATCAAGAAGAATTTTCTTAGGAAAAATTTTGTTTGTTTTCTGCTTTGTTAATTCTTACATTTTGCAATTATATGGCTGTGGAAATTGCCCATGGATAAATATGTTATACTACTTTAATCAAGATCTCTTTCTGATTCACAAATACATTTCACTAGTCATGTTGGCTGCATGTGAGCGCTATGAAAGCAAAACCCAAAATAAAAAGTTATCTTCTGTACAGGGTTTCTAAGCATCAAATCCATTCCACAAAACAAATCCCTGAAAAAATTTAAAATACAACAGCCAATCATGAAAGTTGCTGAAAAAAAAAGAAAAAATGAGCCTGCACCTGTTAAATGAGATATAAAAAATGCATGCCTCACCAACAACAGGTAGTTCAGTATGACACGTCAATTTCATCACAAGACTGCCAGCCAATTCACACACCTAACTAATTTTGATTTCAATCCTAAAAATAGACAAATCGGCCCTGTTGTTGAGAGCAGTTATGTGTTTCCCAACTTATTGTGGGTGTTAGAAACATCCGTGTTTGAAACTGGGAAAAACACGTGTCTCCTGAAGTGCCTACAACAAAAATGGCAGACTTGGGATGTGAGTCTATATAAGGAAATGAAAAGAAATGAGCCAATATATATGTACAAATAAGGATGTATAATTGACAAAGACAATGATGTGTGTAATAAAAGAATGTGAAACCATTTAGGTTCAAAGCATTTGAAGAGGGTGAATATGTGTATGTGTTGTGTATGCATGGTTAGTTCATGTTTCCCAAAGGGAAGTGCATTCTCCGTGAGAGACTTACATGTTGACATGTAAGCAGATAAGGTAAGAAGAGGCTACAAAAAAATTATTGCAGAGTATTTATAGTCTAGATAGCATCCCCTAGGAGTGGTTTCAAACTGTTAGGAGGAGGTAACCCAACACTATCAACAACATACCATTCGTGCTACCATGTGGTTTCACTAATCCACTCCAGGCCTCTCCCCTAACACCAACTGTGACTTCAGTCAACTAATCCAACAAATCTGTCTTACTCCTGGTCTTACCAACAATACCTAATCGCTTTCCTTACCAACAGCAGCGAAAGAACCACATATTAACAATTCTGTCACCTTTTCACACCTGAAAATAGATCAATACATGCTGTTGAAATTTTAATCTTTGTTTTTTCCTTTGCAACTATGCGCTTGTTATTTTTTAATAAATATTTTTAAAAAGCAGTTTTTTTCATTGTCATAAAATCTTTAATTGATTAGTGGCAAGTAAAGTAGTTTTTGACAATAGTCATTGTGTTTTAGGCAAAGACATAGCTATAATTTATAGATTTATGTAGCTAGATAGGTCAGTGCTTGTAAAAGTGGAAACAAATGTATCACTTTAATTATTTATGAACTTAACAAGAAGTAAAAATTCAATTTTTCTTTCTTGATGATTAATTTATCTATCACTACATTAGAATTTTTTATATCTAATTATTTGAATTAATGTCAAATTATTAAAGTAACATAATTTATATATTATTTAGTTTTAGTTAAATTTTTAAATCCTATTTACATTTCCTTATCAAAATTGGTATTTATGCATTTTTTAGATGTTTAAGATTTTTAAAAAAATTAAGTATTTTTGCTATATATGAATTTAATTAAACTTTTGTCTCAATTTTTCATTGTTTCGAAGATTCGAGTCAATTAAATGAATAGAATATATTATTTCAATATAAATTCTTGTATTAATTTTAACTTTTACTAAATGTAAACTTTTTGAAAAGATAACTGTTTTTTTGGTTTCGTGTTGGTTATTGTTTTTGAAGGGAGGTAAGTGATTATGAAAAGATAAAAAAAAAAAAAAAATGGCAGGTCCAAGGGACCGTTTCAAGTTTGAGAATCAATTACACAGAATATTTTTTGCCAAAGTGATTTTTCTGCAATTCATTGCAAGCAGTTCGGTAAATACATTAGTTTATTTTTTTATATGAAGCTACAGCTTTGTATGTTAAGATTAATGCAAATTTGAGTTGTTACGAATTGCTGTAACAATGGATTCTCCCATCGAGCAAGTTCAAACCACGTGGTTCATTACTGCCGGAATTAACTCTTCTTTTTTTTTAGTCTTTGGTTTCATTCAGTTTCTTTAAATTTGGGGGTAAGTCTATAAAACTTCTTTTTCGCCGTGACTTTTTTTTATGTTATTGGCATTTTCACTTCAATTTACCTGTGAAAAGTCTAATTTTTAAAAAAAAATATGAAGTTCAACAAGTAGTTGGTTAGAGAAGTTTATATTTTTCTTTGAAAATAAAATAAATAAAAATCAGTCAATTTTATTGCCGCCGACTGTTAATTACCTATTGTTTCAATTAAATATGTTAATAATCCTACTTCAAGATTCGGGGTAAATAATTAAGTTGATTTTGTTTTAAAAGTTATTTTATCTCCTCCACGTAAACTCGTATCAATTGTTTTTTTTACATCAGTTTTTTTTCTTTTATCTTTTTTATTGACTCTGATCAAGTTTTTTGTTTAAGCTTTTGCATCTATTTCATTTCATAATTTCATTGTGTTAATTTAAAACAATTGATTATGGTTATTTTTTGTTAATATATCAAGAATTATTTATTTCTTAATTTAGGTCACAATTTATTTATTTTTTTTTTTTTTTTACGGGTATATAACCGTATGAACCGCGGGTAGGTATCGGTATAACTTTTAAAGGAAAGGTATGTTTTATTTGCTTTTTTTTTATTTTTAAAAAAGTAAAAAAAAAATACTTTTATAAATAGAGTACATTAATTAAGTTATATAATAATTTTAATGTGAGAACGTTTTTATAATGTAAATTATAAAAGTATTCCAACTGGCCGACGAACAACGACAAAAAATCTTTTTCATCCCACCATCATTGTATCTTCTTGACTGTATTTCAAAAGAAATAATACTTTAAAGTGGTTTATTTAGTTAGATTTAACGAAAAATCTTATTACAATAAATAAATACATGAATAATTAAAACAAAATAACATAAAATTCAATAACTTAGACTTTGGCTTTATAACTTTAGTTTTTGTTATATAATAAATTATTTTACTAATATTTTTTAAAATATAAATCGATCAGCTGTGTTTTGAAGAAGCGGAAATTAAAAGAAATATTATTTTATTACAAGTTTTTTAAAATGCCTTTTTAAGATTTCAAATGAACCAACATTTATAAATTTTAAAAGACGATGACTTAAACTTTTAGTGACTATCGTGACATTGAATGAAGAAATGCATCTTTCTTTGATTGAATACACAACAAAAACAGTATCGTAAACAATAATAATACTTCTTATAGTTTTTACTTTTAATTTGAATAGTTTAGCCCTCATTTTGTCTACTAAATTTACAATAAATTTTTATACATATTTTAGTTAACCATTTTTATTTATTATTTTTTTTACACTTCACAAATCTTAAAATCTACGAAGATATTTTTGTGGGAATTTTTTAGATGGATGTTTATATGGGGTATAACGGGTCATAAATTTTAAGTACGTTTATCTTTTGTTTACCACAAAGAAACGAAAATTTTGTCTATTTCATTTCGACTCGTATGTAATATATAGTTTTTTTATTTAATTGTATTTTTCAGCCCAGAGTATTTTGTTGTCACTATTGGATGATTTGATTATCATCCAATATTGACAAAAATGCTAGGCTTCATTAATATTTATTTCATCGCTTCACAAAACAGCACTTGGGTTTCTGAAGAATTCCAAGAAGAAGCGAACTTCCTACACTGTGAGAATAAGTTTGCATCTTCTTGGAGGGAGAATATTCAAAAAGAAACACAAACTTCGGAAATTCCCGTCAACTTAACTCTGGTAACTTTGATAAAAATGACTGAAAAAAAAAACTATTCTGACTGCCTAGCAAGAGAACAAAAAACTATTCTGACTGCCTAACAAGAGAGCAAAGTACTTTTTTTTTTTTTTTTTTTTTTTTAGAGTTCGAGATTTTTTATTCACGAAAATGATTTTCGTGAATTTCAAAAATCTTTATTGAATATTTACTGGTTTAGCTATGTTCCACATAAAAATATTTACCACTGAGTAAAGACCTTTTTATTTAAAAAGGTTCTGGTGCTAAAAAAAAAAAAAATAGCTCCAACATTTTGTTAAGAAGACTAAGAAGAGCAATTTTTCTACACTTGTGTTGATTTGAAAATTGCATGCATTTCGATGTTATATATGCTCATTTTGTTGTTTCAAATTTTTGTCGTCAGAAAGTCAAAAATATGAGAGAACATGGAAAAATGTTTATTTTCTTTAATCAATATCTTGGAAGAATAAACATCTTTGCAAAACTTTTTGTTCAAATATGCATTTGTAAAAAAAAAAAAAAAAAAAAAAAAAAAACTGGCGTCTATCCCATTCAAACAAGATGATGTACACTTACACTACACATGATCAGGACACAGGTACACAATATCTAATTTAATATTTCAAAAGCAAAATATTTTGCTGTATTTCAAAATTCATAAGTAATTTAAATTTAGGAGTTTTCATGTTGAAGTTGATTTCAGCACCATTTTTATCAACCTGATCATTTCTCAATCAATTGAAATGCATCAAAGTATATGTATTTTTTGCTTATTGGAAATATTAAATTTAATAATCCATTAGCTTAGAATTTAAAACTAAAATAAAAGTTTCAAGAAAGATTTTTCATTTTTAAAATGTATTTTAAAAATGAAAAATCTTTCTTTAGTTTTAATTCTAAGCTAAATGTATTTTAAACTATAGGTATCTTTTTTTTTCTTCTTTTTTTTAAGGTACCTAGATTAAATTTAAGAAAATGTGTGGTTTTCTTATGTACTTTTTTTGTTGGTTCTCTTCCTCAGGAATTTTTCATTCAAAAAACTTTGAACTTAGAAAAATAGGACAAGTAAATTTTGTTCATAATCCAAACTGTCTACACAAGTTGCAGATTTTCATACTTGAGTGAACTGAAATCTGCTGCTAATCAGTGATATTTTATTGATTAATGATTCTTATTGATTTACTCCAAGAGACAATTTTAGAACTCTCTATGATAATGGAGCTTGGGTGGGTACAGAAAAACTGCACATTAGTGGCAATTCCTACAAAAAAAAAAAAAAAGAAGCTTTTTAGCTGAAGAGGTCTTTGTGTAACACAAGTTAATAACCTTCAGATAGCTTTTTTTTGTTTGTTTATTATTAATGAATGTTTAGTTAGTAGGGTTGAGTCAGAAGTGAATTATACAAAAAAAAACATTGTCACTGTCTATAAAAAGTGACTGCCAAGATAATCATATTTCAAAAGTGCTCACATCAAATTCACAAAAAAGTGACTTATCTAAGTTGCTATGTATAGCAGGTGGTATGAATCCAAACGAACCCCATGTGAAATACATCTGTGCTTTTGTTGTGGGAAATATGATTTTGAAAAGAGTAGTTTTTAGTAATATTTAACACATTTTCTACAATTATAAAATATGGGTAAAAATTCCTAAATATTACAAAGACCTTCCCATCTTAATCATCAGAAATCCTATTTCCTGCAAAATGTAGATTATGCACGGGATTTGGTTTAATGAATTTTCTTATCTCTAGAACTTATGCAATTGACATGTATATTACTATTTCTTTTTTATTTGCTGTAAAGTGCCATTTGAGATATGAAAACTAGTGATTTCAATTTTTGTAATAGTCTATAGATAAAACCTTCTTCTGCCAATATTGGTTTAGTCCAGCAGACATATTTATTGGATTTTTTTTCACTTGAAATCTATGTCAACAAAATCATCTAACATTTCAGATGGCATCATTTTCACAATTGTGTTACAATATCCTGATGTAATGCAACAGTGTGTGTGTTTTTTTTTTGTTTTTAGCTGTCTGTGTTGAATTTACTATGTTTGGTACAAATGACAGGTTTATTTGTTTAACATTTTTTAAGAAAGATATTTTCAAATTTGTAGGAGAGACATTTAGAATTGTAATATTTATTTTTACTATTTATTCTGTATAATTATTTTCTATTTAAAATTTAAATATTTGTTTTAATAATAATTGGTTTTATATTTTTTATTATTCATCGATTATTTTCTATTTAACATTTAAATGTTTTACCAACAATAATAATTTTTTTATACACACACACACACACACACACACACACACACACACATATATATATATAAGTTTGTCACTTGGCTGATTGGTGTTACCATAAGCAATTGACATCAATTACTTTCTATTATTTATCATTTAAACATGTCAATAATAATTGATATATCTGGTGACCATTTGTTTACTCTGCTGTCTAGTGTCAAAAAAAAGTTTGTGTATACACACACCCATAGTTCATACCCTGTCATTGGATTGATGATGATTGAATATTTATTTTACCTTAACTGGAAGAAATAGATGAGCAACTAAAGGTGAATAGAAGATATTAATTGGTACAAGATATCACCTATTCATAGAAAATGGAAAGACAAAATATCTGTGTAGATTGAATGAACACTCTTGATTAAAATTGTGAGCATACTGTAGAGTACAACAGATATCTGAAGAGGACCAATAGAATACAATAGCTGAAATGTGAACATAACCATGAAAATGAGGATATTATAGTCTATATTGTTGTTGAATGGAAAGGTATATAATCTTATTATAATTGTGCTTGTCCCTGCCTTCATTAGTTCACATGACTGTTACACCCTGCCAATACCTCATAAATAATGGACTATTCCATTTTGATCACCTGGAAAGATGGGAAAAGTGACTACGTGGTTTCAGTGAGAAAATGAAAGAAAGATAGAAGTGGAAAGAGAATCAGATTAAGCTGATAAAAACAGACACTACACTTTGATCTTAGCCAAAAGGTTAAGTGATGTGATGACTGATAAAAGTGCTATTTTTCAGGTGCACAGTACCAAACAATGGAAACCGAGTAAAATAATCGGCAAATACTCAGCTATAAATAAAATAATGTAGTCTGTTGAATTATTATCAAGAGAAATGTTCATAAGAGATTTTGGTTTGTGATAATAATTGCTCATCTGAAAAAAAATTGACATAATGGATATACATTTGTTATTTTTAAAGGTGTCAGATTTGAAATGAGGTATTAAAAAATTGAGAGTTGAATGCATTTCGTTTGTTTATTTCTTCTTAAATTTTCATTTAATAGTGAAGGAGTTATTGTTCTTGTCTCATTTTCCTCTCTTTCAGCAAACATGGGAAAACCAAAGAATAAAAAGAAAAAGAAAAAGAATGAAGATTTTAAAAAGAAACGTGTAAAAGTTGGAAAGCGTCTACCAAAAGCTGACAATTACACTGACACAAGTTTCAAAACCCAGACCATTCAAGTTCTTCAACACATTCGTACAAAAGACTCTGCATTACCCACCACCAAACGCAACCTCAGTATAAAGGTAACACAGCAGTACAATTTTCACTAAACCCCTTACAATCATGCTTTCTCCATACATTTTGTTGGGTAAATAGTATCTTTGTCTTTGATGTTTTGGGTACAGTGCTGATCTCGAGGAACTGTCTCCAAGTCTCTAACCTTTCACACTCTGCATTATTAATATTACTTCTCTTTCCACTACATTCATTTTATCTCAATAAAATATCTGCAATATCTTTACTGTTAATATAATTCAAAGTTGTTTGCTGTTGCCATAGCAGGATATGACAACACATCTATGAAATTCAAAGACGCTATTGTTCAGAGTCACCTTCAGTGGCAGGATAAACATTTTGTACAGCAAATGCATTTACATACAGTGTGATAAAGGTTAATTCTATGTCAAGTACAGAAACAATTGTCAATTAAACCCTGACAGTTATATTAACCCTGTGGGGTGTAGGGCCACAGCCTCCCACACTAGGTATTGCTCTTGTAGTTATTGTAACAAGTAGGTTTTTTTTATAGGTTGGAGTTATTAGCTAACCCTATACCTACTCAGTTTTGAATTCAGAGTACTCAGTGGTTGAGGCTTACAGCCATATCATGTTGAAACATCTGTTTGCGTCCAATCACAGAAGTTAAGCAATGTTGAGCCTGGTCAGATTTGTGGCCTATAGAATACTGGGTGCTGTAAGCTTGGATGTGGGGGTGGTGTAATGGTAAGTGGCTCAGAATGAAAAATCTGAGAGCAGAGTTTGAATTCCAGTCTGGTTTGTTATATTCACTTATGTTCAAATACTCTTGTGAAAGATATGAATCCACCTCTTCTCCCTACAGCTATGGGTTAAATATTAGGACTTGTATCTGAAAATTATTATTATCTCCAAAAATAGTTAATACAGTATTCACTCACAAAAAGAATTATTCGTACAATCCAACATGTTTTTTTTTAAATAAACTACAAAGGGTTGATATACTGCAAAAATAACAAATCAATCAAATTCTGATGTGGTTGCTAACCAAAGATAGCTCTGTTTTTGCTGCTATTAACCTCAAGCTATGAGGAAAAGAAACATTTGTATGTTTCCCTAGAATGTAAAAGTGAATGCAATGGCCTAGGATGGAATTTGAACTTGGTATGTCGAAGAATAATGACTCACTGAAAATAGTGTTTATTTTTTATGTTGTCAATCTTCAAGAAGAAAGAAAATGCATAAATTCACTTTCATATGTTTGTTTTATTACAATTCTAAAAATCGCTTTTGTAAATCAGTAAGCACTGCCAAAGAGTGAAGGTAGTTAAAATAATAGCAGTGCCAACAGGAAAACTGTCTTTTGGACACAGCTTTTTTTTTTTTTTCGGCATGAACGTTAAAGATTGCTATATTTTTTAAAGAAATTTTCAACTTTTTTGTGCTTAGTTTATGTTTGGTCCTATCAAAAATTTATTCACAAATATTTTTTAAAGTACTGAATATTACATAATGAAATGTTTTTCCATTTTTTTTCTTTTTGCAGGATTTGTTGAGTCAATGTCAGCACTATAATGCTTCGATACGACAAGATGGAGTAAATGGCTTACGAGAATTGTTGAAGGAACACCCGGATTTATTGACAGACAATTTGTCCCAGGTTCTACGAAGAACTGCTGAACTGTTCACAGACAAGGAAAGTACAGTACGTCAAGCCAACCACCGGCTTCTGCGTGCTATCCTGCCCCTGGTGAATGATCAGGCACTCAATGCGTTTTTCCCTCAGGTGAGTGCACACCTTTGTTGTGCCATGACTCACATTGATGAGGACCGCCAGCAGCATTCTCTTGGCATTCTTGATTTGTTTCTTGAACATTTCCCAAAGCAGGTCATTCGGAATTCTGGTCAGTTGTTACCAAACTTCATTCAACAGATATCCTTGTTACGACAGTCAGGTTCTGGAAAAGGATGTGGCAAAGTTAGTAGGAGTTTTGATAGTGGTATGGTGCGTACACTGTCTATGAATCCGAGCAGCAAACTGTCTTCAATTAAATGGAGGTTGAATGTGATGCAGAGATTGTCCAGAGTACTCTCAGTTATCATTGAAGAAGAAGGCAGTCACATTCTGTCAGTTAATACCTGGCATGGAGGGACTGGTCATAGAGGAGATGGCACCAATCATAATACTAATGGAGCGACAGTTATCAAATGGTCAGAATATGAGCAAGACCAGCAAGTCATTTTACGCTTCAATGATATGTATCGATTGAAGAAGAATAGTAATTCAAGGTATGTAATCATGACTGATTATTAAATCCAAGCAAATCATTTGATATTATTTAACCTATTTTTTTATAGTGTCATCAGGCAGGCCCTTGATTGGAATCCACAAGGGAAGCGAAAAGTGGGTTGATCAAAACAAACTTGGTGCAGAAGTGTTGATGTAGAGGTGAAGGCAGCCGGCACGACATGGGCCGAGCTGAAGAGGGATTGCCTGGAACTGCATCCATTGGAGAGGTGTTGTTGCAGCCCCCCTATGTTCCCCAAGGAATCAAGAAACATAAAAAAAAAAATATTTTTCATAATTGCTTTTAATTTAATTTTTAAACAACTTTGTAATTACTTTATTTCCTAGTGTTGGTTCCATTCTGTTTGGAATATGTTAAAGATCAAATGTAGATTGAAATCTGACAGGATAAGATAAAGAACAAATAGGAAACGTTTGTCAATCTAACCTGTTTCAATTTTATAAAAGCTTCATCTAACTTATGTCTATCGAATACCGATAGTATATACATAAAACAGTCCCAGATTAATAGACTACCACCCCCACTATGCCCACTGACCGCACAAAAGTGAAAATATTAAAATTCCTTCTAGTAGGCATGCATATACACAATTATGAATACGCATTACCATCTGATGCTCACTTAAGAAACTGACTGAAGTCGAGATGCCAGGTCAGGACTGATAACATTGCAGATTCTTTTTTGGATTTTATCAAGAATCTCTAAACACGTAGCAGAAGCACCAGACCAGGTGTGGCAGCAATATTCAATGAATGGACATATATAGGATTAATACAAATATAAAATTTGTCACTTACCTGATTGATGTTATATTCAGCATCTCAACTCTAAATATTTTTTAGTAGCAAGAAATACACAATTTTCTATTAAGATATTAAATAAAAAAAAAAGCAAAACATTACTTTGTTAAATTCTAAGCAAAGACCCTTCTTTGTAGGTTGGTTGATACACACTTCATTAAATATGTATTTATAAAGTTATATCTACATATACTTGATTTTGGTCTTTATACTTGATTCTGCAACATGCTTATGATAAATCAACCAAAAAGACGAGATGTCATATTGAGCTGAATATTTATTTAGTTTAGTTTGAGACACTCTCAACAAGTAACATCCAGTGAGAATTAAACTTGTCCCACTTGTTAATTGGTCTGCAAATTGAGTTTATTAAATATTGCTTAAGTTGGTACCTAATACCAGATTTAGATGATAACCTGTAAGGAAATTTCTGTTATTTTATTTATAAATTATTCTTATTTATTTTTAAAGTGACTTGCAGTTTTTGGGAGACAAAAACCGTGTACAAAGTTTTGTCAAGACAATAATTCCTCTTATTTTGGAATGTTGGGTTGAGTGCAGTCCTGAAGTGAAAAGAATTAATTCAGGTGAGTTGATTTCTTGTTGAATTTATTCATTTTTTTATTTTTAATTTAAAAAAATTTTTTTGCTATTATTCTCCTCCTCACATTGCTGAAGTACAAAACCTTGTCAGCTGATTTTACAGTTGCTTCTCATGGGTTTTAAGAATAAATTGATCAATTAGTAATGTATATACAGCAGTGGGGGGGGTCATAAAAAGTTCTCTATCTGCCCTATCTCCAAAAATTTGACCAAATTGGCTAATATTGATTTTTTTTTTTTTTTTTTTTTTTTTTAATTCATTGACTTTTCAAAAAACATTTAAGCAACCTCTCGTGGGCATGGATGCTATTTGAAACCATCATTTCCTTCTTAAATTCCTGTTTTACAAAATGTGTTTTAAGAGAAGAGTCATTTACTCTATTTAATTTTCTGTATTTTTAGAAATTTATTTTTATGTTGATTTTGAGATTGTTTTATTCCATTGCAGAAATGCCTATTTCTCCCGACCTTCTTCCTATTCTTGCTAGTATGGCTGAATTGTTGAAGCTAATTTGTCAATATGTAGACTTGAGTGTACAGGCAGGGATTTTAGAAATGGTGAGTTCAGGTTGATGTTGGCTTCTTTTTTTTATTACATTGAACTATTTTGATTTTTTTTTTTTTCTTCAATAGTGGAAATTTGGTTATCAAAATTAAATATTTCCCAAAAGTTTATATTTAAATGATATTTGGGCACAAATGTTGAAAAAGTTATAATCTAATGAACAATTTGGAAATTCTTTGTTCATACAGCTTTGCTTTATTTTTTAATCCAAGTAAATTATTGCCCAATTATGAGAGATTTAGTGAAGTTATCTATTTTGCATTTAAGTAATCAAAATGGCTGATATGCAAATCTCAAACATTAGTGTCATGAGGTAGATCAAAGGAAAGAAACTTGGCCCACACAATGCTGGGTATCTTTGTTAGTAATGAATAAAAGGTAAAATAAAGCTGTTCTTGCTGTGGGTTGTTGTAGGGCAGTTCTGTGATGTCAAAATCAAAAAGACTGTCGAGAAAAGAAAACAAGCCCACTACAACATGATAAATTGTAGAATGTGATCCACCATAGATTGTAACTGAACTCAATTTCAATCTTTTCTCGGCATACTGCCTTCCACTTCAAGTGAATCCTTAAATACATGCTTAATTCATGAATATTCATCAGCTGATAGTATCATAAAAATGTTGTACTCGTATATGCACACTGCAAATAACCACCCATATTCAAAGCACACAAAGCATTGTACTTGTTTAACTTCAGATGATTAATCACAAAAACTTGGAAGATAATTCATTAAATATTTTTAAATGATGCTTCAAATGTTTCAAATATTTTGAATGAAAAAGCCTTCTCAACTGATAAACTACTGACTGTAGTATTTGTATACACATGCACACACCTTTTTTTTAATAACTTGAAGATCACAATTATACATTTCCTGATGCTTATTACTACCTTTGTCCTGTAATTTTTTATATTTAGTATATGAAATATATATGCATATGGGACAGGTGTATTATAACATTTATTCCTTATTATGTAAGGCTTTGATTGACTTCCAGGTAAAACTTGATTCTACTGAGTCTATAGTTGGCTTTACACCTTTGTCCAACTCAAAAATTAAGAAATTGATTGATCTTAACAGATTTTGAAAATTAAAATAATGATTGCTTAGTTTTCTACACTTATCAACCCTTTACAGGTTATTTAAAAGTCAGAAAATATATTTAGATTGTAAGAATTTTTTAAATTTTTTTTTTATTGAGGTAATAATGATTTAATGAAAGTCTTACTAATTAACCCATAGCTGGAGAGAAGATATTCATACCTTTCCCAAGGTATTTATATGTAAGTAAATATAAATGAACTTAACTGGAATTGGAACTCGGCTCTCTGATTAACAATTCCATGACATTGTCCATTACATCACCTGCACATTTCAAGCTTACATCATCCATCTAGGTATTGACCAAGCTTGAGGTTGCGTCGGTGATCGTATGGCAATCAGTGTTTTAAAGTTAAATTAATCAAAATGCTGCTAATTTAAGCTGAATACAAGGGTTTAGTGTTTAAAACTTTAATCCTTCCCTCACATTTTTAAACTGAATCTTTCTTTATAATTTTCATCAACAACCTTCCTGAAGTAATAAGTTCTCGACTTGGTATCTATGCTGATGGTGCAACTATTTACTCTTATCTTAATGCTAAGTCTGATGGGTTGATAAGGTTAAATTGGCAGCTGATCTTGAAAATGACCTACAATCTGTTGTTAACTGGGGCAAAAAATGGCTTGTTAATTTTAATGTGATCAATACTTAGCCTCTCTCATAATTTCATGTCAAACTATGTTTTTATTTGAAAAAAACAAAAAAAAACACATTGCATTTTTAATACTAAAATAAAGGTCTTGATGTTTAAAATTTTTCTTTGCTCTATATTTTTAAATTAAAATAAGAAAACAAACTTGAGTTCATGGATTTTAATTTTCTTAAACAGACAACTTCTTTTGATACAAACATTGCACTGTTTCTTCTTGAGAATACAATGTCTATAACTCTCACCAAATATAACTTGAATCTGAGACAGATTATGATTTTAAAACTGAAACCTTTTATTTAAAGATTTAAAATAGCAACATTTAGCATATTTTAACCTTCAGAATTCATTTAGAGCAATTATTTTTTTAATATTTACAGGGGTGGTGCAAAAAAACAATGCCCTTTATTAAAAAAGCAAAAATATTCTGAATATGTCTATTAAAAATACTTTTATTGCTTTATCAGTTCTTTCTTTGCATCTGTTGCTGTAGATATTACAAATTTTAATTTCACTTTTTAGAGCCCTGTCGGCGGGGCTTCAGAATACGCCGACTGCACCTCTGCAGGGGTAAAAAGTCCCCCAAGGGGCCACCCTGTTTGCCGTGGGTGGCGACCCGTGATGTTTGGGGACGGGATCCTGGTGGCTGAGCAGGTCATGACCCAGGTGATAAGTGGTCATTAACTGCAACACTCCACTTTGGCCCTTATCTGAGCTAGACAGGCGGTCGGAGAGGCCCACTCCGATCAATCGGCTGGTCATGACAAGCCCTAACACTCAACCCACCCACCCCAAAAAAAAAAAAAAAAAAAAAAACTTGTGTATTAGTATAATTGCCAATTTATCCTCCAAAAAAAAATGACATTTATTAAAAAAAAAAAAAAAATAAATATATATATATATATATATATATATATAATAATAATAAACTCCCCACATGAGTGTTGGAAGGCGGTGGCTAAGGGTCAATCGATTCTGAGGAAGAAGGCCACAACATGGCTGTATACACCCGAGAGGCATCACTGGACTTGGCCAGCGAAGCCAAGGGAATGCAGGTGCTTGTGGCTTCCACTGGATACGAGTATACCTTTCCTGTAGCCCTGATGTGCCAGGGCGAATGGGTTTCCCCTGGCATCTCCCATAAAATTGGACTCCGAGGTGGGTGGGGAGCAGGAATGGCTAAAACAACACCTAAAAAACAAATGTTTCAAAGAAATCCACCAAGAGACCACATTTTGAAAGCTCTGACAGTGAGCCAGAAATAATATATCAAAACATCCCTACATATATGGTAATCCAATCAACTGAAGATATACCTATAACTAAAATATCACCTTTCAAAATCGAACAAATACTTTCTAAAAAATAAAACCAAAAACAACAAAAAAATTAACAAACGGAACAATTCTAATCGAAGTTCAAAAACACAAGTGGAAGAAATCCTAAGATGGGAAACTTTCAACAACATCAAAATTAAAACCTCCCTCCACCAAACCTTAAATTCATCCAAAGGCGTAGTGAAAAGCTCTGAATTATCACTATGCACATTAGACGAAATAAAACAAATTTAAAAAAACAAAATGTAGTAGATATCAAAAGAATAAGTATAAAAAAAAAAAAATGGAGAAACTATAAACACAAACACATACATATTAAATTTTAATATCCCAAAACCCCTAATGAAATTAATGTAGGGTACATAAAAATAAAAGTTGAGACATACATACCGAATCCACTTAGATGTTTCAACTGTCAGAAGTTTGGACACCACCAAGATAGGTGTACTAGACCCCAGTATGCGGAAGATGCGGTGAAAATAACGCAAGACACACTGACTGTCAGAAGGAGGCAAAATGCACTAACTGCAAAAAAATCACCCCAAAAATTCCAGAGATTACAAAATCTGGAAAAAAAAAGGATATTTCCAAAATAAAATATACTCAAAATATTACTTTCCCAGAAGCAAGGAAATTAATAAACACTGTGACATACACAGAAATATCAAAAGACATATACCAAACCCAAACCAACAAGGACACCAAACATACGAAAATAATCAACCTATAACAAAACCTGAAGTAGTTACTCAACTTATGAACGAGATGAGAACTCTAATCCAAGAAATGAAAACCATTATAAAAACAATCACAGAAAACAAACAACTCTCCAAGGAAAACTCAAACACCAAAACATCAACAAACCAAGAGACACAAGCAAAGCCTAACAAGGAGAACCCAAAAGTACTCTCTTCTGAAGTGGCCTCTACCACTAGGCCATCACAGACTTCACCCAATAGGGAAACTATAAAGAAAAAAAAAAACCTGATGGGCAGGAGCATAAAAAAATAGATCAAGATCAACCTCAAGAACAAGAACAGCCCCAAAAATAAATAAATTTGAGGCATTGGAAATAATGGAAACGGAAGATGAGACCCCACAACTAAGCAAAACCCAATCAAGGAAAAATCTAACCTCAAAACAAATCCCAAAAAAAATTAAAACATGGCTCCACAAGTAATCAAACATCAAAATACCGAACCATGACTAATAAAATCATCCAATGGAACATAAAGAGGTATGAAACCAAACATAAATGAACTACTGCTTTTAATTGGGAACCTATGTCCAATGATAATATGTTTACAGGAGACTTTTCTGAAAGAGAATGACAATGTAAAAATTCGTAATTTTACCTCATATAACTATATAAATAATAATACAGATAGAGCCTCAGGCGGCACATCCATACTAATTAATAACAAGATCCCCTCAACGCAGAATAGATCTTGACACAAATCTTCAAGCTGTAGCTGCATCAGCCACTTTACATCGTACCATAACAGTATGCTCTATATACATACCCCACATGATCAGGTTATCGACACCGAATTAGAGCAACTGTTGCAGCAACTCCCTAGGCCATTCATTTTATTGGGTGACTTTAACAGTCACAACATCATATGGGGATGCAAAGAAATAAACAAAAAAGGTAAAATCCTGGAAAGGATTGTTAACGAAAACGATCTATGCATACTCAACACGGGCACTCAAACACATATAAACCAATTTAGTGGGAATACCTCTGCCATTGATTTAACCATATGTGACCCATCTATCTATATGGACTACACTTGGCAAGTACATGATGATACTTGTGGTAGTGATCACTTCCCAATACTTCTAAATAACACAAAGCCTAATGGAAAAAAAATGCCCCGTTGGAAACTAGACAAAGCTAACTGGGAAAAATTTGAAGAAAAATGCAAAGAAAAACTAATACACAAAGAGTCAAACAATGACACAATAGAGTATTTCACTGAAACACTGAACTCCATAGCAGTAGACAGTGTTCCCAAGACTACAACTCCAAATAAACAGAAACAGACCCTGGTTCAACAACAAATGCCAAGAAGCAATTAAACTGCGAAAAGAAGCACTAAAAAATTCCAAAAGAACCAATAACATCCAATCTGATGGAATACAAATCAAACAGAGCAAAGGCACGAAAAGAGATAAAAAGCAGCAAAAAGAGAATGCTGGCAGAATTATGTCAGGAAATTGAATTGCTCAACTAAACCAAAGGCAATTTGGGAAATGATTAAGAAAATTATGGGCAAACAAGAAACAACACCAATAAAACACCTCTCAAAAAGACAACTCCATAATAACAGATAAAAAAGCTATAACAGAATTGCTAGCTGAAACCTTTGCCAAAAAACTCATCCAGTCTGAATGGTACAAAAGAATTCATAACCATCAAAGAAGATGCAGAAAAATGTAAACTAAATTTTAAATCAAAAAATCTTGAAGATTATAATAGTTTATTGACACTAAGAGAATTGAAAGACTCTATAAAAAAAATCCCATAATTCTGCTGTAGGCCCGGATGAAATCCACTATGAGTTTTAAAAAAATTACCAGAAGAATCACTAAAATTCCTTTTAAAAATATTTAACAAAATATGGACAGAAGGAAGGTTCCCAGATATATGGAGAGAGACAACAATGATACCAATTCCCAAACCAAAAAGAGATGGCTTGGACCCACAAAACTATCGACCTATCTCTTTAACCAGTTGCTTGTGTAAAACAATGGAAAGGATAATAAACAACAGGTTGATTTGGCATTTGGAATCAAACAATCTTATTTCCAACTTACAATGTGGGTTCCGTAGTAAAAGAGGCACAATAGACCACTTAATACGCCTTGAAACAAATATTAGAGAAGCATTTATCAAAAAAGGAACACCTTACAGCTATATTTTTCGATCTAGAAAAGGCTTATGATACGACGTGGAAATATGGAGTAATGAGGGACTTGAGTAACCTGGGTATAAAGGGTAGATTGCCACAGTTTATTGATGGATTCTTATCTGAAAGAAAATTCAGAGTTCGTGTCGACTCTACACTTTCAGATGTGAAAAATCAGGAAGAGGGTGTCCCACAAGGCAGTATATTGTCCGTAACACTATTTAACATAAAAATAAACACTATAATCAAGGAAATACCACCAGGAACCGATGGATCACTATATGTGGATGACCTTATGATATGTTATAAATCAAAATATATCCACACAATCGAACGAAAACTGCAACAGGGTCTAAATAAAATCAGCAGATGGGCAACAACAAATGGATTCAAGTTCTCTAAAACAAAAAATAAAATGTGTCCATTTTTGTCACAAAAGGAAACTCCATAATGACCCTAGGCTGAAACTTGACGGTTCAGAGATCCCAGTTGTAGATGAATACAAGTTTCTGGGGTAATATTTGACAAAAAACTAACATTTATTCCCCACCTGAAATACTTAAAACCAAATGTAACAAAACATTACAACTACTGCTGCGTGGTAGCCCACACAAAAAATGGGGAGCAGATCGAAACACTCTGTTATTATTGTATAGATCCCTAATTAGATCAAAATTGGATTACAGTATTTTTATATACCGTTCAGCCAGAAAATCCTATTTAAAAATGCTTGACCCGATCTACCATGGAGGTTTGAGGTTAGTACTGGAGCCTTTAGAACATCTCCAGTCGAGAGCCTATATGCTGAGGCCAACGGGCACCTGCAAATAGTAGAAGCCATAAACTGGCCCTCCAGTACTATGTCAAATTAGGGTCATGCCCAGCAAATCCTGCGTACAATAGTACCTTCTATCCAAAATACAAAGAATTATTCCAAAGGAATGAAAAAGCCATAAAACCCTTTGGACTTCGGATGGAAACAATTATAGAAGAAGCAGATGTAGATTTGACAAAAATCCATAAAACAATCATACCAGATATCCCACCTTGGACCATAAGAACCCCAAACATAAACTTAACCCTCTGTAAATACTACAAAATAAAACCCACCCACTAATTTTCCAAGAGGAATTAGAGAAAGTTAAGGAGAGATATCCTAGGCACTCACATGTCTTCACAGATGGATCTAAAGTAGGAAAAATAACAGGATGTGCAACATATATAATAGAAAAATATTTAAAAAACATCTCCCAAATGACACCTCTATATTCAGTGCAGAAGTTTGCGCAATTAACATGGCTCTTAACCTCATCTCAGAATCAAGGAACAACAAGTTCATTATCTTTTCTGATTCACTATCAGTATTAGAATCACTAAAAAACAGGAAGTTTGATAATCCATTGATAGTGAAAATACTATGTAAATTAGAACACCTATCAAATGATAATGATATACAGATATGTTGGGTCCCAGGTCACACTGGAATCGGTGGAAATGACCAGGCAGATAAAGCAGCCAGGTCTACTCTAAATATGACCATAGAAAAAAATTTCAAAATACCATATACAGACCTTAAAATGAAGATAAATAAATACATACTGCAACAAAGACAACAACGCTGGAACAGCAATAGTAATAATAAATTACTAAAAATTAAACCTGAATTGGGAGAATGGAAACAGAGCTATAGGAAAAATAGAAAGAGGAAGTGATATTGTCCAGACTTCAATGGGCCATACAAGGACAACACATTCCTACTTACTTGAAGCAAAGCAACAACCAATGTGTTATGCATGCCAGACCGCATACACAGTGAAACACATTCTCATTGAATGTACTGACCTAGCCCATATAAGAGAAAACTTTTATAGTGCAAGTAACATGAAGGAACTGTTCCAAAAAACTGACATGGATAACATAATATCGTTCCTGAAAGCAGTCAATTTGTACCAAAAAATCTAAAAACATAAAAAGTTGGGAGTTTTCTGCAAACTTTTGCTGCAAGGAATGTTTTCAACAAAATCTGATCCTTTCTGCATACCATTTCTCAAAAAAGGAAGAAACTTCCTACGATACAATTCTCTACAAAAAATTTTTTTTTGACAGAACCAGATTTTTTCTACAAACCATTTCATTTCTAAAAACCTTTTTCAGCATGGCAAACCTCTCCGTTTGTGGAAATGGAAGGGACTATTATATTGGAAAATAATATTCCAATAATAACCTGATTTGACATTAAATGACTGAGGAGGTCGATATGTCGTAAAACACAAACAAACAAACAAACAAATTCACTTTTTTAATCTGTTGTTTTTGTACTTTTGTCTTTTTATTCTTAGAGAGGTTGGTTATCACACATGTATGGAGCAGACCTTGTCCATCGTCTGATGCTTGCCTTTCCATACAGCACGTACACAATTGATGAATATCAGATAGATGAACAGATACATAAGTCTCGGAAAAAATCAAAAGGACCCAACAGGCAGGAATGTCTGGTATGTTAACTTTGATATTTATAGTAAAGAAATCTTTTTTTTTTTTTTCCTGTGATAAAACTAGTGATAGGACAATACCAATATTTTTACCAAATCCAATAAAATTCACGCTACAGTTCTAAATTTCTAATTCCAATATCTACAATGATTAAAATTAGGTACCTCCATGAAATTGCTAAAAAAAGAGCATAGCTTGATGAAAAAGGCGCCAACCTTGCCGAAACAAAATTTTATTGTCTAAATGCTTATGTTATTATTAAGAGGAACAACCAAAGTTTTTTAATTATTTGAAAAAAAATTTTCCTTCTTTTTAGAACATTATAAATTTTGATTAAAAAAAACCTTGTTTCTATTTGTATCAGCAGAACTAGTAAATAACAGACAATATTTAGCACGTTTTTTTTGGTATGACACACATTAATTTGAAAAATCGTGCAAAAATAGAAATAATTGCCAGATGTTAATGAAACTTTCAGGAACTATTCACAGATGACCGAAATTATTATAAATATGTTTTTTTTTATTAAAGTCATGGTAGAAATATTCTAAAAAATATTTATTACAACCCCCCCACACACACACACACACCAACCAATTTTATGGAAATGCTAGAAATTCGATCGCATCGGGTTTAGTGATTACATTAATTAAAAGCACAGGGCTTTGAGGAATGCAAATCATGTTTGTTTTTTTGTTTTTAATTGGATCCGCAGTACCTGAAAATCAGCTCTGAATTGTAACATACAAAACTCAATAAAACAAAGATATTATTTAATTTCAAATGCTTTTATTTGCTTTTATGAATATGGACAATATTTTCTGAAAGTAAAAAATTTTTTTCGATGAAAAATGAATTTTTAATACAATTATTTGTTATTTCTTTAATTATAATAGATTTTACATTTAAGTTGTTAAAATATTATAAAATTAGTTAAAAGCTGCATTGGCTTTCCTAAGTGTCCTTATGAGATAGATCTTTTTTAGCGTGTTGTAAATTGTATCATTTTGACTAATCAGAAGATCCGCAGTAATTAAGAAATGTAATTTTGTGCTTATAACCGGGCTGTAATTATAAAGTATGGAAGACCGACCAGAAGATAATTAAGTTGCGTTATTTGAGTTAAGCATTGTTTTCCGCTGTTAAGGCCTTTACTTTTGCGAAACACGTGTGGAGAAGTTAATTTGATTTTTCAATTTCAACTGAGAAGGGTACCTACAAGTATCAGTATCATCTTAATGAAATTTATATGATCTTGTTTTATATTAATCTCAGTTATGACATTTTTCCATAAATGAAATATCAAAATTAATAATAAAATGAATGCAAATACAAATAACAGTAAAATGTAATAAATGTACATAAAATTATAGTATTTTATGTACAGTTCTGATAAAATTTCATAAGAAAGGTACCTATAAATTAATTAGATATCTTAGGAAATATGAAATTTAATGTCATTCTTAACAGTCTTATTTTAATTTCTTTAGAATATATTTTCCATAAAGCATCATAAACGTAAAGGTGAAAGCTAAGTACAAAAAAAAAAAAAAATTAGACCGCTGAAAGTTTTTGTTAAAAATAACGAGGTAAATAATTTGTTCACTTAAATGTAAATTATTTCACTTTTCTCCTTCCGTAGAACAAATTAGCCTCGTGGAATTAAGAAATATGTCATTCATCACCTGTCAAGAGACGCGAAAGTTTATGACCTGCTTTGTTTTATTTTCAAATTACATCTTTTTGGCACAAAAGCTAAGTTAAGTTTGGTTCAAAATATTTTAAAAAAACATTATAATTTCTGATTTTCTTAAAATAAGTTTTGAAAAATGATAATTGATATTTAAAAGAATTTCAAAGTGAGATTTCCAGTTTTTTTTTAAAATGGAAAAAAATGGTCAATTTTGCTGACTCAAAAAAAACTAGATTTTTAACGAAAATTTCGGATGTGCTAGGAACGATTAAAAAATGGAAAAAAATACCCCCAAAATACTTTGATCTTTCCTCTTAATAATAACAAACATTTAGATGATAAAATTTTGTTTTCGTCAAGTTTGGCATCTTTTTCATCATGCTATACTCTTTTTTTTTTTGCGATCTTGTGGAGGTACCTAATTAAAATCCATTATTTTCAGGTCCTACAATTGGTTTACGAAACTTAATGGACTCAGTATCATCCAAGCCAGCTTTTTGTAAAAAGAAATTTTTGTATAATTTGTATTTATCAAAATATTTTAAAATTAGAATGCATTTGAAATTCTCAGAATATCTAAATAAAGTAAATTAAAACTTAAATTAAGATATATTTAAATGTATTTAATTTAATCATTTTTAAAGCAAAAACTATAGCAAGCCTTATTGCTTTGAAAAATAATTATTTGCTATTTATTTTGGAGGGGAATTTAGACTTTTTGAAGTAAATAAAGTTTTACTTTTAAATATTACATTAAAGAAGCAAACATTTCTCTGTAAATAAATTTAATTACTAGTTTGAAAGCGAGTAGAAGCAAGATACATTAAGAATTTAGTTTTGAAAATCAATTATGTTTAAATTTCAAGTTATATTTGTATTTGAAAAGAAAAAAACTTTAGTTAATTAGGAAAGACAGGAATGAGTTTCGGTCAACATTAGTCATGTTGAATATTTATTTTATGAATTTAACTATATTTTATTTAAATTAAAGTGTCTTTTAGAATAAAAATCTGGGGATCCTCAGCACCCTAATCACCACCACCACCCCCAAACGTGGTATTGGTAGTGTGGTATTTTCCTAAATTTAGTTATATTGTAACAAACCAAAAATCATTGAAGTTTATTTTTAAAGATTGAATAAAAATTATTTTCCGTAAGATGGCAGAAAAATATCAATAAAGTCCATAATAAACTATTATTCAGAAATCTTCTGAGCAATGCCGGTATCCCAGCTAGTTTATTAATAAAACATTTAGTAGAAAAATGAATAAAAGCTTATGAAATAAAGTTAGATATATTTTTTATTTAAAAGATTGGGTAAGACTTTAAACAATAAAGAGAACAATTTACATAAATCACTTAAGTACCAAGCTACTGTTGACATATTGCTTTATTTTGGTTATCATCAGAAATCTTGAAAAACTTCCAAACTACACTTTTCTGCTTGGCATTGGGTACACTTGTCATAAATTGGGTCTGAAATAAATATCTGCTATATATATATATATATATATATAATGCAACAATAATTCTCTAAGCAGAAAGGCATCATCCTACATATTGTGGTTTAGCTCATGCATATATATTTGATAAAGTACATGAAGTATCTAATTTTAAATTTGCTTCTAGACATTTAATAAGAATATTAATTATCACAGCAACTTAATAAATAAATAAATAATAAAGGGTTTTCAATCTTATATAAAATTTAATAACTAATAAGTTTTATTGTCTAAAATAAATTTTCAAAACTAAAATTAATAATTTCTAAAAAAGAATCAGAAAGTACTTTCATTTTGTTCAAAAGAAAAGAGTAAAAGTGCAACAACACAGTAAAAAAACATATCCTTTGAGTTTTTTTTTTTTTTAATATAAGCAGTTTTAGAAAACTTTACAATATTCTTTTTTTAAATATTAGGGAACTGAAAGCTAAGTAATGCTGATGTTCTACTTGATCTTTTTAAGATATGAGAGTCAACTGTTACAAAGGATTAAAATAGAAATAAGATTAAAATCTTCATAAGGATGAGAACAATTGTAAATGTGTATTTTTTGCATAGGATTAATTTTTTTCAGTTAATTATTAGAAGATGAAATTTACTAGATTTATTTTAAAAACATTAAAACAAAACATGTTAAAAGTGGGAAAAAATAGCTTAATCACGCCAGATAAAAATGGGATAAAAATACTCATTTTTAACTTTTTATACATTTCTACTTAAAAAAAAAAGTTGCATCTTGTTTGGAAAAAAATTTAAATGCCATAATAATTTAACATAGGAAAGTTCAATTATGTCAAAGAAAAATATTAGTAAAATAAAATTAAATACAATTTTTGATGGAAAGCTTTTTTTCAGGAAACTTCAAATAAAAGTTTGTTTATTTTTTTTTAAGTAAATAAAGATAAAAATCCATTTTGAAAGCTATAAAATTTTAAGAAATACATGAATTTCAGAGGAACAAATTTAAGTTTCATAAAAAGAATGTTTTCTTTTTTAACTCTCGGTTATTGAAAAGAAAATTTATTTTTTCTTTACGTTGTATAATATATAAACAAAAATAAATCTTTTCAATAACCAAAACTAAAAAATGATTTTATGGATTAAAACTATTATAAAAACAAATTGTTGTAATTTAACTGCCTCACTACGAGGACAATTTGTGACAGAAGGTCATTTTTTTTTATGTGAAGAAATCAAATGTGACATTAGCAGGAATTCCATATATTCATTTTTTTCTTTTTTTTATGAATTAAAAAAAAAATAATAAAAATTGTCTTTAAAAGATAGCCCGGCAGTACTTTCCGAGAAAAAATTTGACTAGAGTCCTATGCAGATATATTTTCAAAGAGAAGCCATAGATTAAAAGAATTTCAAGAAATGTTACAAGTTTATTTCAATCTTGCAACATTTATGGCTACCGGAAATGAAATGAACATCATATGTATAGACACCATTACTATAGTAATAATACATTTCATTTTAAGACAGCAATATTTAAATAGACTGGTCAATTCAAAAAGGAAAGAAAAACTACATGTATGTCAAAAGACAGGTATCAATTTGAAGTTGTATTTATATTGTAAAAAGGACCCCCATATAAAATAATAGAAAATTAATATTTTTTGTTTCTGACAAATTGCCTGAGTAGAGGAAGTTCTTCTGAATAGTAGTCAACAAAAATTAGTCATGAAAATATTTTTATCTACAGTGTAACCCGGATATAAGAGAGTTGTTGGGACCGGAGAAGAAGTCTCTTATATCCGGGTTTGGTCTATTTTATATACATTAACACAGGCTCTAATTTGGGACCAGAGAAAATCTCTCTTATATCCTGTTTTCTCTTATATCCGGGTTACACTGTATAAGAAATTAATATTAATGTTGGAAAGTAAAGGATCGTTTTAACATTCAGTAAAAAAAAAAAAAAAAAAAATGGAAAATGTGTATGTGGGGGGGGGTGCAATTGAATAAGCTTTTCACTTTGTCTTGCCTTCATTTTAGTTTGGATATTCTACATCCTACTAAACACCCATTATTATGTGTCTATATAGTTTTTTTTTCTTCTTCTTTTTTAGTTCCTGGAGAAACAGTTAAATCTTGATGTCTGTAATATTCTGAGTTATTTAGCAAAAGACAACTGTGAGAATCCAATGCGTCAGATAAATAAAGCAATATCAATATTTGTCAATTATATAGAAAATTTGATGAATAGGTCCCAAATGAAAAAAACCCTCCTTCGTTCTGTTGTACAAATAGTTGAGCAACTCCTTTCTACAGAAGGTAAGAAACCTTTATTCATTCATTCTTTTTATTAAAAAAAAAATTATTTTTTTGTATCTATATTTTTGAGATGAGGTATTGTAACTATTTACGTTATTCAGATTGTTGTCCTCATCTTTTATTGTCACTTTCAAAACATTTCGGCCATTGCATGCTCCAGCCTTCTTCAGGTGATATGTGTTTGAATTTTGAACCAAATCTAAAGTAGTCACTCTGTATGTTGGCATTTCTGAAGATTGGTTTGATGACGTTTGTTTAGACGTTCTTCTCATGTTTACTTCCTGAAGTGGGCTGACATATATAACCTTCACCTTCCTGGGGGGAAAAGATTTTTTTCCCCCCCATGAAAGCCTTTATTGGTTATTTTCAACAGAAGGCAAGAAATTCCTTTGAATTGCATTGCACTTTTGCAAGGAAAACAAATATTGTTAGAAATATATATTCACATATAGAGCCTGTTCCATTTAGAATAGTGAAAGGGTTTTATAGCTTTGAATGCGATTCTCTCACAAGTGGAGAACACCTACAGCAGTATACATCAAGAGTTAGGATAAAAAAAAAAACAATTATAAAATCTGCTATGAAATTAATCAGTCAATCATACTGTTACTTACTTACTGTAGATACCTGTAATCATTTTTTCTAAAACCTTTGTTATATGGTTTGTAAAATGACCTACTGCCTCTGAATAAATTTCTAATTTTTTTTTTTTTGACAGACCATTATGATGTCCTTTCTTCATTAATGGATAGCATGTTATACACTTATAATTCAGTTCATCCATTTTCTACTGAGAAAGTTATTCTCACTGAATTCTTCTTACGTCTTGTGGAAAAACAGAGGGATTCCTCTTTACAGTGAGTATTTTTCCGCTTTTTTTTTTTTTTTTTAATCATTTCACCCCAAGCAAGGCAATAAACCTACTAAGATATGAGGGGTTACTGAGTATGAATGAATGAGAAAAAGAAAAATAATATTAAGGGTGGAGAGAGAGAGCAATAGAAGAAGAGAAATTAAGAAGGCAAACGATAATGATTTACATTGTATTTAAATTTTTAAAGAACAAAATTGACTGGAAAGGAAGAGACCCACAAGCAAGAGAAGAAACTGTTAGCATAGAATTTACGGTTACATTTAGCTATTTCAACTATAAAGTGATGAGACCTACCGTGCCAATCTAGTACTGCACTTAAATTCGTAAAATTCTATATTACATTCATTCAAATGAAATGGTTGGCAATTGCAAGATGATTTGAATTGATATAACACGTATTTACATATTTAATTGGATCTTTAATTTCAGTGCAAGTTGAACTGAAGAAAAGTTTAAAATAATTGCTGTAAATTATAGCATACAAGTTGACTTGTTATTAAGTAATTATCTTGATTTTAGTTCAAAATTTTGCTTTAGTCATCAAATAACTTGATCTTCTTAGTAAAGGGGTAAATAATAATGTTACAAATGGCTGACACTATCACTTACCACTTACTTACTATGCCAAAAATAAATATGATTTCAAAATTTAAAATATTATGGATTATTTGTAATTGCATGTATGAGTCCCAGTATAACACAGCCAGCCCAATTTGATCCTAGGTCTTTCACATGCTGGTCAGTACTGGTGCTGGTCAAATGATGGTTATCTGTTGACCACTTCATTTCTTCATCTACCCTGTCTCATGTTGTGATTGATTGATCACAGTGTAATGAAGATCAAACTCTCATCTGCACTTAAGCACTGAATCAAGTTGGCAGAACCATACTATGAAAACCAAAGGACAAAGATACCTCTGCTAGTGATAATACAAATTATAATAAATCACAGAAAGTCGCTGGGTTAATTTTCATATGGTTTTATATAATGGTTGTTACACAAAATTAACCCTTCCCCTGGAACCTAGTGACAAGGAATCTTCTGTTTTACACTTCGGGCAGGCTAACCATTACCACGAGAGGTCAGGTCGTCGGGATTTCGAGGTCATCAATTCTCCACGTCAGCCATTCCCTTGTCTGGCTTGATGTTAGCAATTCTCTTTGACAGCAGGACATATAACTTCTGGCATCTCTGGCTCATTGGCAGGTTCAGGCACCCTCAAGTTGCTTCTCTCTCAACTACGACTGCTCCAACTCTTCACTCTAAATCTCTTCCTGCTTCAAGTAGTGTCAGGTTTACATGCATCTTGCATGACTCTGGCCATGCCTCCAGATTCATTAATATTCATTTTCCTTAACCTTGGATTGGCAACACCCGACTCTAGATAATGGGTTAACTATTCAAAACAGTATAAATTTGTTTTTACATTCCTTTGTTACAACACAATTATTGCTTACGAATTAATTTTTGTATATAAAAATTTATTCCACATGAGCAAAGAATTCACTCTGCTTTTAGAAATCCTTCCCTTTCTCCAAACAATAATTTCTTGGCCTTGACAAATTCTTTTGTAGATTTTGAAAACAATCACCAATTGTTTACATTTTCAAATGACCCAAATATTGCCTGTGTCGATCGGTTGTTCTTATCAAAACAAAAACAATTTCTAATAAATTCTAAATAATTTATCCACGTTTAACCAACCTCATATTGCAATGTTTTTACTTCAATAATTTCCATATTGCAGCCCTTCTAATGCTCCAATTCTATCCGGGGTTCTCAAATGAACCCTTTTCTTAATACTATGTCCCATTCCTTCCAAATACTACTAGTGACACTTAAAAAATATCACACCAGTATAAAAAGTTATAAATAATAGACTGATTTTATCATTGTGATATTTTTGCATTATATCAAGTATTAAGAATATATTAACTAGGGTCTGCAAATTGGAGTAGAGAGTTATCAATGATAATGTTCTGACTTCAAATCTGCAGTTATCTCTCATTAACCCTCTCTCTGTTTTTTTATTATTTTTAAATGTACTTTTTATCACATAAAATTTGGTGAGGCACAAGCAAATTTTAATTCCCAAAACATGGCCTAGAAGAAAAAAGGTTTAGGAACCACTGACTTACCATAACCAAACTTGTGTGTGGTAGAATTTATTTTTGATGTGGGAAATCTTGGCAAAATTTGTTTAATTGCTGCCTGAAGGAGAAATGTTTCCCAAGTCTGTGGTAGTGTCAATTGTATGTCCTTTTCTTTCAAGAATGCTGGTCGTCATTCATCCTTGTCATAATAATGTATCATCGGGGGAACTTTATTATCAATAATGGGGTAATTGCTCACCTTTCCAGAAACAAACTCCTGAACAAAAAACAATAGATTTTGCTCCTCCAAGTTCACTGTTGATGTTTTAATTGTAATTATGCATAGAATTAATGAGGCATGTGATGGTAGTTATATCACAAGAGCAATTGTGTTAGAATTCTCAAAGGTTTTTGACAAGGTGGAACATAGGAAGTTGCTATAGAGATTCTCCAGTTATGGCATATCTGGAAGAATGTGTATAGTTATCAGGTAGGTCATGAGTGTTGTTGTAAATGACCAGTTTTCTTTTTTCTTTTTTCTTTGAACCCTATGAATTTGATGCTGGGCTCATCCCAAGGTTCTCTACTTAGTCTTTCTCACTCATTAATGACCTGACTAGAAACATTCTCCGATTGTTAGTAAACATCTCTGTTGATAATACAACAGTTTATGGAAGGATGTCTAAAAATTAAGATGTTCAGAGCTTCACAGTTGATCTCTTCCCTGGCTTAGCTTTAACAGCTTAGTAGGGACGTAAAATCAAGATGGTAACATTTCATCACCGCCAATCAAATCCTGAGCTTTCTTCCATCACAATGAACAGTTGCACTCTCAACAAGGCTCCATGATTTGAATGTCTGTTGGAACTAAAATTCAATCTAAACCCCAAGTGGCACTCATATATACGATCCATCACTAAAGATGCTGGCAAAATGATTGACTCCTTGTACCATAAAAAGAAAGTACCTGACTTCTTTTGCCATGCTTTATCTTTAAAAGAGTCAGAAAAGACCAAAAAAAGGAATATTGCTGCCATTTTTTGTCTGAAGCAACCCAATTCTCACTTTCCAGTCTTGACAGTTCAAAATCATTTATATAGTCTTGTAGGGGGATGACATTCTCAACTGTACAACCTTTTCCCCCCACAGACACATGATTGCAAACTTATCACTACTCTATTGCTATTTCCATGACAAGTGTTCAGATGGGCTCGACTCTAGTTCCACCAACTCAGACCTTTACATTTAGGACTCGCCATGCTACATCCATAGAGTTGAATCCTCCACATTTCCTCTGTATTCCATTTGTAAGGAGGAAAGTTTTCTACTCACACAGCATTTTCCCAAGAACTGTTACTTTGTGGAACAAAGTACCACATAGATGCTTCTTTGAATGCTACAATCTGAACCTCTTCAGGGGATCAGTCCACTTTATTCCTATAATTTTCACTTCCTTCTACCTCCTCTAACATTCATATTGCACACCTCGTTCAGTAACCCGCTATCATGAGTTTTCTCTTGAATCTTGTATTGGGTGAACTTTAGTATATAAAAGAAAAAGTTTTCAGTTCTCATGTCGATAAAAAGAAGATACATAGTTGGTTACTAAAGCATGTCCATTTAAAGAAATTACACTTGGAATTTTTTTTTAAATAAGGGTTCTCAGAAAGGGCTAAAACATTTTAAGTATTTGACTTAGTGTCCTCATTTTCCTGGTCATAAAATCTGTTTACTTAAACCTTGAAAGGTATTTAGCCATGTCTCAATACTCACTGTCGAAATTGATCCCTTTTATTTATTTATTTATTTATTTTTTTCAGATTTAAAATATTGACTTATTTGGCATGATTTAAAGTAGAATCTGAAGTAATATTGATTATTTTTCAAAGTTTAATTCTGATTTGAATATTTTTCATCCTGAAACAAGTTTCTGTTTTTATGATTTTGTAGCGACGTATGTGACCATTTTCTTTCCACTTTACCTAATTTGCTGGTTCAAATGGTGACCAGTGGCTCCAAATCCGGCCGTGTAAGTCAAGAAGTCCAGCCAATTCTTTGGGCCATCAAGCAAGCCAGTTGTCAAAAGAAAAGCAGTTTACAACTTCATCTACAAGCAGAACTCATTAACATTTTCAGTATGTTTATTTTTTGATTTTAGAAACATTTTTTTTTTGTGCTTTTTAATATTATTTAATTTTTTATTTTTAATATTCTTTGGGAAAATGTTCTCATTTTTTGAAATACTACATATTTAGAATTCTTTAAAGAAGTCCCCAATAGCACAAAAATATTTGATATTCATACTTGACATTTGTATGATGTTACACCCACTTAAAAGTGCATGTAGTGAGATATCTTATCAGTCACTCCCAAATGTTTAACTACAATGCAAGGATTTCCTATTAAATATCTTTCTGTCAGTCTTTTCTAAAGTATACAAAAAATGAAATCTGTTTGGAAAGTATATGGAGTTTTAATATTAACCCATTAATGCCCTTTGTTCCAGAAATGAGTCTGTTCATATTGTGTTATTAGTAGAAACCTATAACTAATACCAGGTTTTTTATTTTTATAATTAATACATGAGTTTACAGTGGCATTAATGAAAAAAAAAGAATAGTTTTTGAGGGAAATAAATAGCACCTTAATTGCATTCAAAGTATTCCACTTGTTATTTCTTTTAAATAAAGACCTAATTTTTGAGAGTACCATTAGCTTTCTTGCTGCATTTTTAATGGACATTTTTAGCTTTGAGTAAAGCTAGACGAAGAAGAAACACTGTCCTGTAGGTGGGGTTGAGAGATTGAGGGGATATGCTGTTTGACCAAGATGTGGAGGTGGTAGCATGCATCAGAACCATTGTAACTGTGACTGTCATACAGTATGCACATTTACTCAATGGTATTCCTGTATAATCACCAAAGTTAAGCAACAACAAGCCTCATCAGTACCTATCTGGGTGACCACATAGGAATACCAGGCACTGCATGTTTAGATGTGTGGGTGATGTAATGGATAGTGGCTTGAAATTGTTAAGTGGAGTGTTGAGTTCCAATTATGTGCAAATACACTTGGGGAAGGCATGAATCCACTTCTCCTCCACCCAGCTAGGAGACAATCAGTAAGACTTGTATTGCTAAACCATTATTATCTCTCCCCCACCCCTAAACCCCAAAAAATTTCTTACAGCCTAAAAATATTTTCTGGTTTTGAATAACCTGCAAAGGATTGATAAACCATAGAAAACAAATAAAAAAAAATCAATGGTATTTCACTGCTAGTTGAGTAACCCTATAGGAGAGTATCTGTTTATGAATGTTTGTTTACAAAACAACATCAAAGCCATACCATCAGTTATTGCAATATTCAGAATGGCTGCATATTTTTTGATCTTGATTTAATGAAATTTGAGATTAAGCCCTTTGATATTTTACTGTTTCTTTTCAGAAAATAACAATTATTTTCAAAAGATTTTCTTAATTTTTTTTTCTTCCCCAGATTTAATTCCTATGGTTGAGCCCAACCTTCAGCATGATATCCTTGAGATGATGTATCGTCTTGATCATTTCACAGATAAACAGTTGAACAAAGTTGTCCTCCTCAGCCGTAGTACAGAAGTGGCTGTGGAAAAAATTGGTTTTGTTCTTGAAATCCTGCAACATAGGTTTGTCCTGTTTTTTGTTGTCTTTGTTTTGTGAAGTGCCAAGATGAAATAGTTTTATGATTCTATATATTTTTAAACAGTTTCCTTTGTTGTTTTAAACACAATATTTAAACTGAAATACATTTGAATCAACCAAAGAATGTATGTATCTGCTCGTTAAGGGTGCACATAATAGTTGGTGACATGAGATAACAACTGATCACAACTCTAATAGTAGAACAACAAATGGCAGAATAAAAATCAGGCATGATTATAACAGTACAAAAGACAACTGTTCATGGCGACGATGACTTAAAAGAAATCCTCTCCTGGGGAGTAAGCACTACTTTTATTAGAGGCATATATTTGAATATTAATAATGTCCAGTATTTAAAAAAAAAACACAGACCTAGGAGAGGAATATTTTCAGTTTAACTATGATGAGATTATAGCAAGTGTGATGGTGAGAGAAACAATTTTTATGGTTGTAAATCTGAAGCTAATGGTTGTCAGTGTTGTTTTTCTTTTCCTTTTCTATAACATAATTGTTTACAATATATCATTTAATTAAACCACATAAGTGCAGTCCATTTTTCAAGTGAACTGACCCATTATATAAAAAAAATCTTTGTTTTTTTTTTTTTTTGTTTTTTTTTAAATATGTACTAGTAAATCAATCTCTGGTAAAAATGATTTCCTTGAAAGTATTGAAAACTAAAACTATGAAATGACCATTTTTCTGCACCCTGTAGGGTATATTATCAATAGTATCAATGTAGGTAATGATATTGATAAATTTAACATTTATTCATAGGAATTATTTCTATTTTAAATTTGCAAATTTATTTCCTAACAGATTAACCCGATCTGAAGCAACATCTGAGGAAATCAATCAATATTTTAGTCTTCTGTTCTCCATTGCTCTCGGTGAGTTTGAATTCATTTCTTTTATGAACTTAAATGTGATACTGTGCTACCTGAAAGTTTGGGAATTTAACATACAAAATAGTTTCCTGAAAGATAAGAATTTATAGAAAATGAGTTTTTTCTTTTCTGGTGGTTTGATTTTAAGAATATGCCAAAATGCCTTGCAAGACATAGGGAAACAAGGGGGGATTTAACAGATGAATAATCAGTCAAAATTGTTGAAGACTGTTTTATATAAGACATAAAAAAAAAGGATTTTTAAGATTTAACAACCTCCTGCCCATCTAAAATAATTCCTTTAAAAAGTGGTAGCTTAAATTTATCATTTTTATTCAGATAATATCTATTAAATGTAGTATATAATATTTTACAATAATTGAATTTAATGTGCAAAGCAGAAAGAGAAAGATGATAAATTGATAGCAAATAGAAATTTCTGTCAAAGTTGTTGATAGTTTCTTTGTTTCATTGCATATGGCTAAATTGGGCGGTATCAATGTAGGAAGATTGTGTTGTGTCAGTTCCCCAAGTGCAGAGAGTATGCTTGCCTTAAAAATCTGCATTTAAAATCCTGGTTTTATCTGGGTTTGAGCACTAATTGTAAAAATATGCAATGATCTCTGTCATGAGGTAGGTTCTTTTCATTGAAACTTAGTTTGGTTTGGCATGGCATGGCATATAATGAAAAAAATCAGCATTCAAAATACTTTAATTTTGTTTTTTGTTTTATAAAGCTTGATCACTGCTACAAGAAATGTGTAACATCCTCTACTACCACAGCAGAGCTAGGATAAATTTTGAAAAATAACACATAAAAAACTATTTTCCAACTCTTTATTCCGATGACAATTTTCTGTCAGTATTTGCTAAACCTAGCTGAATAGGATACAAGACCAAATAGAGGGTTATAGGAATATGAAAATTGTGCTGTTCCAATCTCTTTAAGTTGGGAGGATCTGTATGCCTTAAAAATCAGTGTTTCAAAACATTGATTTTTAAGGCATACAGATCCTTCCAACTTAAAGAGATTGGCACAGCAAAATTTTCAGTTATTTTTTTTTTCCTCATGCCCACTGTTGATAATATGGGACATGTGCAGTGACCCCCCAACTTTTATGTAGACTGTAACCAAAATCCCATCTTTATACAGAATATTTAGAAATTATTTGGCATCTATATATATATTTTTATTGTTATTGTTTTCAGGTCATAGTCAGAAAGAATTGACCTCGTTGCCAGGTCAGTCAGACCCTAATGTAATTGCTACTTCTGGAACCAGACAAGGACCCATTGTGGTCTTCTCAGCTGAACCAAATACCAGTTCTCGACATTGTGATATAGTTAAGGTGAGTTTTTTTTTTATTATTTATGAACATAACTTTTCTTGTCAAACTTGAGAATTTCAGATTGCAAACCTCTTCCAAGACAATTTCAAAATATTTTATATTTTTCAGTTAAATCTTAAGCTTGGTGTATCTTTTATCTTAGCTTAAAAGATGCTTCTTAGAATTAAATGTTCAACAGAATAAAAATTGGACATACACACCTGACACACATAAACACATATGCTTAAGGCAGAAACTTCACCTTGGTATATCCAGCGCAATCAATTTCTCACCTTCAAACATGAATGTAAGAAGCACAAAAAAATATGTAGTAATTATTACCAAGCACAAAATCTTAATATGATCTTCAAAAATGTACCTACATCCCAAATAATAGGATATCTGAAGAAAATAAAATGTTTTCAACTTCTATAGAAAATAGAGATTGTATTTTGAACCATGCAGCTTGAGACTTTTTGAAATATCTTGAACTGTACAACTTGTGATGTTTTGGAAACGCTTAAAACTTCACAAAACATTCTTGAATAAAAATCCAGTTTCAGCATTAAATGACTCACATGGATTTTGATATGCTGTTAAAAAATATAAACAATCAATCTTATAATGAAATGGGTTTAATAATCATAAAGGTTCATGTTTTGTTTGACTGTGGTGATAATATTATATATATGTGATGTAGATAGTATCCATGGAGTTAAAGCAGAAAGATTAAAGTCCTATTAATTGTTGTTAATTTAATGTTTTCACCCTTATCAGTTTTTAGTCACTATTTTAAAATGGAAATTTGTTTTGCGTTTAATCCCCAAGCTTCAGAGGTACAGTATATTGGAGCCGTTGAAAAATCTCTTGTCTGTTGGTGGATTGAACCATCAAATTCTCTTATTTCCACTCTCGGTGAACCATTATGAATATTTGATGAATACTTTTTTCATCTTAAGTTTAATTGTGTATCACCAATCAGACCATCACTCTATGGCCATTAGTTAACATCAGGGATTGTATATAATAAGCTCTAAGAAAATAAAGAACATCACAATCAAAAGAAACAAGGTCTGATGTTCCTAGTTATAGGGTGTGTACTGAAAAAAATTTTTCAACCTAACCAAGAAAGGGTTAAAATCAGCATTTGAGTTCATGGCTTTTGTCTAGGTTTGACCCCTAATCTCTGTCCCTGGTGGGAAATACAGCCATAAATCAGGGCAATGAATGAAGGAAAAATCATTAGATAAAAAAGACCCATTGTAAAGGTCACTGGTTTGGTTGACATCTTAGGAGATTCTTCCTCTTGTATTCAGATAAGATCTGAAGAAATCCCAAGCTCAATGTTTAAATATTACAATTCCTAGCTAGCCATGTGTTGCATGAAAATTGATTGATTTACAATATAGACCAAAGTCTTGGCATAATGTCAAAGAAAACCAAAAATAATTAATAATTGAATGATATACTTTGATTTGTTGTTGTGTTGGTATACAATTGTTTGAATCAAAAGGAAATGCAAACCTCTGCCTTATCTCATTCCTGAAATTCCTTGTGCATTTAATTGTTTCCATGTTTTTTCACTGCAATTTTATTTAGTATTTTTAAAATTACTAAAAATGAAAAAGAATTCCTGAAATTTAATTTTACATTTCTAAGATATGTTAAATAATATTTCACTGGCTTGTTGCATGTTTCTTAATTGTGCAAATTGACAGGTAAAAGGACAGGTTTTCAAATTCTGATTTCAAGGCAAGTAGGCCTTTTCCATTTAAAAAAAAAATTGTGGAACAAACTTTTTCCTCCCATGCTCATCTGAATTTTACCTATCTCAGACTAAGCTGAATTTAGTAAAAATGTATGTATGAAAGGGTGCTGTAAAGTTCTTGGACCAACAAAAACCTCTTCAAAACAAAATTCTGATGTTTGGTCATTTGACCAGATTTAGTGAACATTCTTGGTATGACGATAAACTACATCTGGCAGAAAGACTTCTGATCAGAAGATAGGAGGAGTGTGGAAGCATCTTTTAATTGCTATTGTTCTCAGGTCCACTTTGACCCGGGATTGTAGCACTTTTTTTTCAAAGCACTAGGGGTGTGTATAAAAATAGATTTTTATAGTTCAAATACTAGCAATACATTTTTATAAAAGTATTATCAGCAATACAATTTATCATCTACTAACTGTATATCTAAAAAAACATGTTTACCCTGAAAATATAAAATCATGTACAAAATATTTCTGTAGCTGAAGCCATAACATTGCATTTGAAATATTTAGATTTTGGCATTAAATAACCCATAGAGGTTGATATGCTGCTAAATCAAATGAAATGTATTGAGAAGATCTCGGCATTTTCCTTTATATAATATTATGAAAAGAAAGGGGTGTTTGTAAATTTGGCAAAATATTGATCTACCATTGTATATGCAATTGAGGTCACACTGGTCAGCTTAAATCTGTGTCTTTCCTGGAATGACATTGCCACATTGTCAGTCCATTGTATAATAGAATTACAGAAAGATGGAGAGGAAGTCTGAAAAATACATAAATATATTCACCAATTATTTCTGTATATATTTTAATTTATTTAAACTATTTCATTTTTATAGGCATTATTATAGATACAATGTTTTGACCAAGCATTTTCTGGTAGTCATCTTCAGGTGTCCATTAATTTGGGGTCAATATGGGATATCTGTTGATTATTATGTTATTTTGTCACTGTGATGCCTGTTCTTGTTCATTTCTGCTGAACAGTGTATATCATTTCACTATTTGATCCAGGGATTGAACTCCTGACCACTAGATGACAACAACTTTAGTTTAACCAACACTTATATCTGCTATGCAAAAAAAGGTGTTTTTGTTTTGTGTTTTTTTTTTTTTTTTTTTTTTAATCCCAATATCAGATGGTTTTGACATTTTCACTGAAATGTGACACAAATAACATTTATAATAAAAAAAGATGAGAATGCTAGTTTGGATAAATTAAAGTATGTGGACAATTCCTTATCTAAAAAGTAGAAATTTCTGAGTGTGTTTTTTGCTTGTTCTCTAGATTGTCACTTCACTGTTGACTCGTTGGCCAAACACATCACAAGTGCAAATAATAATGGACAGATTCCTTAGTGATTTACTTGTAAGTATTTTCTTTTTCATATTACTTGCATTCTTTTTTCTGTTCTGTAAAATATTTGATGTTTATGGTAAGGAAAGTAACTGAAAGCAATATTCTTTCTTTCTCTTTCATTTTAAGTCATTGCCAATGAAGGACAAAAATTGTATTCAAAACAACAGATAACAGTTTTTACTAATTTAGAAATGAATTAAAATCTTGTGATTCTTACTTTTTGAGCTTTAAATTAGTGCTAAAATATTTTAAAAGCTGATCTATTGGGTGGCATTTAAGCTAGCTCCTCCAGAGGCCTCTTCATTGGGCCTTTATTGCAATAAGCAAGAAGAAGTAGATGTGATAGGCAACAATTACAGAAGAACTCAAAATTGATTACTAATATTTAAGCTTAACTTTTAAAAGTTCAATGATAATTCTTCTGTCATCACTTAATTTAAAGACAATTTGATGGACATAGGTCCTTACTTTCCGTACAAACAATTATTTTCATTTCATGGGTGACTTTTGCTGGATTTTGCAATTAATTTTGATTATTCCTAAATTTATTTCCAAGTTACAAATATTATCATTCAAAAAAAATTGTGGTAAAAAAAATCACCAAAAACAATCGCAATAATGAAAACTTGGGAATCCAAATTTTCAGGGTTACAGGTCTGGATCTGGCCCAGAATGTTTTGAATTTGCTCACAGGGTCAGATTGATTCCAAAATGGTATGATATGTTGGACTACAGCCTCTAGGAGTAAAGTTGAAAAAGTGTGACACAGTGACACACTGATATTTGCATTTATTATATAGATTATTTCTGTTATTTTAAGAGTGTAAATAAGGATTGAAGTGTAGTCACACTATATTGCAAGGGGCTTGAATCACTGAGCACCACTCCACTTATATCAAACAAAAAAAAATTATCCCAGAGTCCTTGCTTATTGGCTGAGGCAGATCTTATTTGTATCTTGGTACAAAAGAAAGATGAAGATTATTGTGTGTCTTAATGTAAAGATTTTTCACTGGACAATTAACTAAACTAAAGCTTCATTACTGTGAATCTTTCTAACTGGATAAACTGTCCTCTGAGCAGGTTTGTTGCATTCAATGCATAATTGCTTTCTAACATTATAATTTCAATATGACCACTCTGTTCCCTTTTGTTTAATAATACATGTGCAAGTCCTTTTGTCTGACTTCTTTTTAATCTTTTTATTCCCATTTATTATTTGGTTGTTTCTGTCAATCCCTGATCCTTGGGTGGATCAGCAGTATTGAATAGTTGCATAATCCCATGATATTCTACCCTTGCTGTGGATCAATGAATGTTCAATTTCATGATTTGAATTTGTAAAGTGTAAATGACCCAGGTTGGCATTTTTTTAAAATTTAATTAGTTACATTGTCATTCTTCAGGAATTCTCTGGCAAGAGTTGGCATTGGCACATTTTAATTTATGTGTAAAAGAATTTCTAAATGAAATGGTCATGGCATGGGTAATGACATACACCCTATGAAGTTCAGATTTAATCATTTTTGATAATTCACTGTAAAAACGTTAAAAACTAAAAATAGCTTTAAATATTGTTTCCTCAAATTAGAAACTTCCCCAACATAGACAAAAATGTTCCAAAAAACATGGAGAGAAAAAAGGAAATTAATTTTCTATGAGTATGTGGTAACATGATTTATCTGTCAAAGTTGACATTAAATGTAACATTGTTGCTAGGGCAGATAAGGTGATCTGCCCATTCTATTTTCCAACAATCATCTTGTTATGATAGGATAACCGATTTAGTGATCGGCTACGTGCAGGGAAATGTTGATTTCTGCCTTCCTTGATGGTTTTAGGTTAATCTGAACTTAGTCTCAAACAAAATGCAAACTTGCTTTGTCCGTCCTATAAAATAAAAGATAAAGCACCTTTTGCCAAAGCCATTAATAGAATGCCAACAGATTCAAGGGAGGTAACTACATAGGATTGATATTTACTACAATTTCTTTTTTCTATTTTTTTTTTTTAATTTAGGAACGTTATGCTCTGCTCACTGAGGAGACAGCTCTAGGTGTAGTAAGTATTGCGCACACTGTCAATATTCATGAACTGTACATGTCACAGGTGAGTGGCTTCCTTGCCTGCCTTTGTCAGAGTATGTTGCATCAATTGAAGTACATGAAAAATATAACAGAAGGGATATGGAGCCGGACCAGTCTCAGGGATGAACTGTGGCACATAGCAGTCACATTCCTAAAGCTCCCTACTCACTCTGTATCTCAGCTCTTGACTGAAGGAATACATCTATAACTGTGATTTATTGTTATGACTTGTACCAGAACATTACAATATTGTTCCTACCTCCACCATCATTAAATGTGGCTTTATGGATTATAAGAAGTGGATGGATTAATAAATGGATGGATGAATGTCGCAATAAACATTTTTTTTTCTTTTAATTCAAGTATCTTCACTTTTTTTTTTTTTTTTTATTCTTTTCTATATAATTTTCACTCATCTTTTCATTACTGATTCCAAGATAAAAAAAAAACATCTCTGGCTTGATTATTGATCTCTTTTTCTATTTTTTAAAAATTTCTTTGTTCCTTTAAAAACTTCATTGTTTATGCAATGCCTACTTGATAGGTCTGGGAATTTGCCAAAATGCCTTTGTGGGGCTGGGTTACTTATCAGATTTCTTTGTTTATAGAATACTAACTTGATAAATTTGAGTGTTTGCCAACCAAAATATAAGTTTTGAAAAAAAAATGTTAAAATAATCTGGTAGATTGGAATATCACATTAGAACCCTAACGGTATATCTTAAGTGGTGGAGCTAACAATTTTTTTTGATTGATTTGTTTTCTATGGCTTATCAACCATTTACAAATTCTGCAACCAGAAAATATTTTTAAATCGTAAGAGATTTTTTTATAGTTAATAATGGTTTAGTCTTACTAATTAACCCATAGCTGGAGGAGAAGAAAAGGTGGATTCCTATCTTTCCCAAGAGTATTTGCATGTAAGCAAATATAATGAACCCAATGGGAATTGGAACTTTCCAATTAACAATTCCAAGCCTTCATCCATTACACAACTTGCACATAGAACCTGTTATTTCCAAGCAGTCACTAGGCATAATGTTGCTTAACTTCAGAGATCGTATGAGAACTAGTGTTTCAATATGATGTCACTGTATGCCAGAGGCTTACAAGAAGATGGCTATCACCTCTCCAACATATGAGACCGGTACTATTGGGTTACTTAATACCAATGTTGTAATGTTAATACAATGAGCTCTATGGTCAGAGTGCCATATCATGGCATGGTTTATAATAGTACCAGTTATTGGGTTTCTTAATGGGAGATAATCTTGGAATTAGTTATAGTGTTATGCTCTTTAGTCTTAGTATCATATTCTTGTTAGGTAACACAAGGCAGGTTACATTTATTCCAAATGATGGGACAGGCAAAATTTCATCATTGTATAACTGACAAATATATATTTGATAATGTTAGTAAATACACACACACACACACACATACAATAAAAATGAAAAAATGCACAACTATATCACAGATATTGTGCTTTCTATATATGAGTTTCAAACTATACATATTCTATTGATTTATAATAATGTGTCAGATTTTCACATACATTAAAAGAAAAAACAAATTTTTCACTAATAATTTTATTGATGGAGCCTCCATCAAAATCAGTATTTTTTTATTTTAAGAATTTAATTCATGGTCTGGGTGTATCCTCCTCAGCACATGGCTGGTAAGGAAAAACAATTTCATTCTTTGTAAGCAATGATTTGTTTGCAGATCGGGCAAATTCCAAGTCAGTTGCCTCTTATGTATATATTTGGTTGTTTAGAAAAATATGGCCAAAATTGATATATTGGTGAGCAAGTGTATTTACACATATCAGTCAAATTATGAACAATTTAAGTCCATACATGTTTTTTCTTTTCTTTTTTTTATCAAAGAATATTTAGATCATTTATTCTTTTCTATGTAAATGATGAAGTTCTAAACTCAAAAAATTCTTAGTCATTTTCTGTATTTTTCTTAGTTTCTGCTTTTTATTTTTTTATTTTATTTCTTCATGTCTAAATTAAAAATAAAATTTGAAGAGGAGTCTGGAGAATAGGAGGAAAACAATTTCAAGGGACAGCGCCGCCTACCTTTTCAGTAAAGTTGTCTCCCTTTAATTAATTTTAATTTTAATTTTTAGTTTCTTTCATTTCTAAGTGACCATTTGTTGTGACGGCACATTTTTTGTGAAAGAAAATTGTTGCCAGCCAATATTCATTGATCAGGATAGTGTTGTCTTTGGGAAATTATCAGGCTATTTTGCAGATCGTTTCTGGTTGAATCCATTTTTGCTGCAGGTTACCATTTCATCAAAGAATCGACCATTCATGTTTTGCAATGATGGCATTGAGTAAATTGCAAAATGGCAATGTTTTGTTTTTCAGCACTCATTTCTCAAATTTCTTTTATTCTTTTCAAATTGTTGAAATTGGAATATTTTTTAGCCATTTTTGAATTGGTTTGGCAAAGATTCTCTTCTCTAATCAATTGCATCTGCTCTCTACTATTTTGAGATATACATATCTCCATTTTAAAGACCAGCAATTCACTGTACATTGCTAAGTAAAACCTTCAGCCATTCTGAGCAGCAGTATGACCCAACTCTTGCATAAAATGATGGGTAACTTTTTAATGATCATTTTAAATCAGAGGCCATTAAACATTCAAAATAAATAAATTAATAGAATACTAATTACATGCATTATTCACATAATTCGGACTGTTATACTGGTCTTCATCTATCATTCACAACATTTCAGCTTTAGTATGCTCTGGCTTTCTTCAGGTGATTGGAATTTCGAACCGAACACTTTATTTCATCCACAGGGATAGAGTGTTCTAGTTCCACAAGCCATGCCTCTTTCGGGTGTCTCAGTTATTTCCCTTTAACTCAATTCTCCAAGTTTTGGTTCACTACTGAACAATCTACCCTGGAGGATGAAATAAAGGTCTGTTTGAAATTCCAATCACCTGAAGAAGGCCAGAGCATACAACAGCCAAAACGTTGTGAATATGGCAATGAAGATGAGGATAACAGTTCAAATAATGTAAACAATGCAAGCAATCATAGTACCTCATCTCAGAGATATAGACAGAATACTAATTAATCTAACAAAGCATAGGAATATTCGGCAAATGCTACACAAAAATGAATTTCAAGATAATTGCCTATTATTTTCTGGACAACTTTATTAATATTTGTGTGTGTGTATAATATACAGTTTATTCCCAAAATGTATATTTTCCAAAACACAAATCTGGCAACTGATCTCTCCTGACCTAAGTCTCATGTGTCAATGGGGAAAAAAATACTGGCTGGTATCCTTCAATACATCCAAAACTAAACTCATAACATTTCATCACCGCCAAGCAAACCCTAAACCTGCAATGATCCTGATTAGTGGTCATAACCCCAAAGAGGTGCCTTGCCTTGGACACTTGCTGAGGTTAGAACTTGCTCCTAACCTTAAATGGAATGCGTATATTTGTGCCATCCCAAAAAGGTGCTAGAAGAATGGTTGGTTCCTTGTATCACTCCCAGAAAATACCAAACTTCTGCTGACATGCTCTGTCTTTACAAGATTCAGATCAGACCAAAAATGGTGCATTGCTGCCACATCTGGGCTAGTGCTGCCCACTTCTCACTGTCCAGCCTTAACAGAATTAAAAAAAACAAAAAAAACAAACTCTTACATGGCTTTGTGGATAATTATTCTCCACCTTGCAACCTTTCTCCCACATAAAATGTTTCCAGCCTTTCATTAATATATTGCTATTACTATGGCAGATGTTTGGACAAGTTCCATTGCTTAGTCTCATTTGCTCAGTCTGTCACAGCTAGGACCCCCTGTCATGCTGCGGTCACACTGGCCGATCATCCCCATTCCCTTTGTGGCTCTTTTTGGTAAGGAGCAAGTTCCACTCAGACAGCTTGTGGAGAGAATGTGTCCCTGACAACTACAATCTGGGTCTTTTTAGGGTCAACCAATATCAATCCTATTTGTCCTTATAATACTTCATTCCCCCCCCCCCTCGCTTTGTTACAATCTCACCTAGTAACTTTCTACTTTGCCATTAGGTAAACTATCTTTTTAACAACAAAAAAAAAGGGAAGAGGGTCATATTCAAATAGATGTTTGATATCAAATGTGCTGGTATGATGTATATGAGGCCAACACTAAAAGCTTGATTTGTACAGATAGAAGAGAAGAATAAGTTATATTAAATAGTAGTCCCCTAAATACTATTGCATTCAAACCATGCATCTCATGAACAGAAGAAAACACACACACGCACACATATAATATAGAATTAATACAAGTAAAACGTTTGTCACTTAGCTGATTGATGTTACTTTCAGCATCCCAACTCCAGAGCTTCATAGATGGACCCTCCAGAAAGCACTCTGTCCACTCATTAGGGGATATCAGCAATTGACTACTTGTACTTCTCTATTTATATTTTTTACATGCACTTTTCATTGGTGCAAGTTTTTTCATTGTGTATCTATTTATCTGTGTGTGTGTGTGTGTGCACACCTGCCTGTCTATATATATATATATATATATATATATATATATATATATAAATGTCTGATGACAGGATACCCAAGATCCTAATGTACAGTCAGTTAGATCAGGGCTACAGGAATGTAGGACGCCCATGGCTAAGATACAAAGACAAGTTGAAAAAGCAACTTGTCAGCAGTCAATATACCACATAACACCCTTGAATGCTTAGCTTTGGAGTGGGTAGAATGGAGATCAACGTGTTTTAGTGGAATTTAGTAATTTTCAATCTGCTTGTCTGAATCATCTTCAAGAAGCGAGGGCAAGATCTAAAAGGTCAGCCAATCTAACAGTAATCTCATCTCAGTCCTCACATGTGCTCCATATGTGGACTCCCTTGTAAATCACTAGCGGGTCTTAAGTGCCACTTAAGATTACTGCACAAACTTTCATAACTGAATCAATAAGCTGTCAGATCTTCATATGTCAAAACCTACGGAGAGAGTCCATTTTATATATATATATATATATATATATATATATATATATATATATAAATTACAAGGAAAATTACCCCATTTGAATAGCTGTTACACCCTACTAGAGCTTCCTTGTGGGATTTGTCAACACAAAGGGGTTAAAAAATAAACTAAAAATATATATAAATTCTTTCTCTCCCCTTCTATCTCAGTGATTCAAACA